TTAGACTGAATCAAACTAATGAATCAATGGGTTAATTTAGGATTATTTTACGTTTGGATAAACTTTTTTTAAAAAAAAATTATGCATTGTTTTTTTTAAAAGGTAAAATTATTTTACGTTTGGATATATGATTTGAAAATCAATTTTACATAAAAAAAAGTTGTTTGGATGTTAAAATAAATAAATAAAAAACACTTTTAGATATACAATTATAATAAAGGATATGTTCAGTCATCTTTATAATGAATTTTTTCAAAATCTCTTAAATTAATTTTGCTCCTGAACTACGCAAAAACCTGTTTCTTCCACACACGAGCTCAATTGTCATTTAGATGTACATTTATAAAATCAATTTAATACAACTAAATTTTCCATACCATGTTAAAAAAGTTATTTAGATATACATTTATATAAATCAATTTAATTAAAGGCAGCACTTGTAGGACCTAGGTTTCAATCATCCGTAATACGCATTATTTTGGTGAAGGAGAAAATGGCATGGAATAGCAATCCACTTGATAAAGTGATAGGTTGTTCGAAGACTAGCTAAAAAAAAATAGCGTGCGATAAAGAGAGATAAAATAAATATAATAGGATGAGGTTAAAATTATATTTTAAAAATTTATATTATCTTTTTTTCAATAAAAATAATTTATATTATTTTTTAATTTATGTTTTTTTTAAAAGTAATCAACTACTAGCTAAAAAAAATAGTATTTTAACTTTTATTTTAAATTTTTCTTTTTTAAAAAATTGTTATTCAAATATCTAAAAATTCTCAAAAAAACTTTAAAAAAAAATAACTTTTTTAGGAATAAAAATCTATCCAAACATGCACTTAACCGAACAAACATACCTAAGTAGTTTTTGACTGCATCCTATTATGGGAGAGCTACCTAGTTTTCATTTTTGTTTTATTGTATTGCTTCTCTGTTTTGCGGGTTTTTGACTAAAAAAATGCAAATTTCAAAAAAATCTACCTGTTTAGTTTGTTGACCAAATGTTATACCGGACTAATATAGGAAGACACGTTTTAGATGGTTACGTGTTTAGTCGCGTAACTGACACATGTGCGTTTATGATAAATCTGAACATGTCTGTACCAGGTACGTGTCTGAACACGTCTGTACCAGGTACGTGTTTCTGACTAGTCTGACGAGCACAATACCAAGATGTGTCATATTCAGGCACGCATGTCGCATCACAGTCAGAAACGTGCACCTGGTACAGACGTGTTTAGACACGTACTTGGTACAGACATGTTCAGATTTGTCAGAAACACATATGTGTCAGGTGCGCGACTAAACGCGTAACCATCTGAAACGCGTCTTCCTACATTAGTCCAGTAAAATGTTTGATCGACGAACTAAACAGGTGGATTTTTTTAAAATTTGTTTTTTTTTTGTCAAAACCACCTGTTTTGCTTTTATTTTTTCTTGCGTAGTCTTTCTCTGTCTAAATGGGAAAAAAAAAATCATGATTAAACATCTTATATATCAATGCAATTGAAAAAAAAAATAAACAATTAACAATTATTAAAATAAAAATTTCGGTCAAATCCAAAAAAAGAGAGAGAGAATCATAATGATAAAAGTGCTAATTTAGATTGCAATATCATTAATATTAAACAGTAGATAACTATAAATTGATCTGCAGTCACTGCAGAGCTTTGTCTTCTCCTGTTGAGACAAAGACATGGTGTGGCTCATTATGTTTTTTTTTTAAAAAAAAAACTAAAACTAAAAATTTGGTTGAGTGTTTCCCCCTATAAATTTCTCTATATTAAACACATTCTAAAAAAAACATATAAGGAAGAATTTATAAATTCCTATGATTTACTCTTTTATCATTTACATTCCTACACTTTTTTCTTATCAATTATCTCTTGTGATTTTTTTCTTATCAATTAACACCATTAGTAATTGAATTAACTTGCTCATTTTAATATTTTGGCTAAATTATATTCGTATTACAGAATATTCAAATCTGTGATGGAAGAATCGAAGATAGCAATAAAGGCAAGAGAAAGAGAAGAAGAGAAAGAAACTTGGAAAGAAGAAATGTTGAAAAAGAGTACAATAACATATAAATATAATTCAATATGAATAAAACTACCATGCCAATCCACAAGTAAGCCTTTTAACCGAGAACTATAAATTCATAAATTAAAAAATCCATAAATCCTGTGCTTATAGAAATTAAATTACTATGATTATACCACATGTTTAGGCAAAATCCTCCATGCCAGCAAATGACTCCCATCCTTTTAAGGGTGTGTTTGGTACATGAGAATTTTTTTGGTGACCGGGAATCATGATTAATGGGAATTCAGTAGAAATTGAGTTTACTTGGAATCTTACGAAATATGTGTTTGGTTCGCCAAAATATTACCGGGAAATACTGGGTAAAAATTACTGATTCCATATTTGGTTTAGAACGAAATATGACTTAGAATATGAGGTTATTTTACAAAAATAACCCCAAACTATTTTTACTTTTGTAATTGATAGATTGGGTCTAGATTTTTATGTGTATTGGGGTATTTTTCTCAAAATTTATTGTTGTGCTTTCCTTTTACTTGGTATTCTGATTGGTATTCCGAATTACCATATTATTTTTGGTAATCTGAATAGTGACTTTTCTTTATAAATCAAATTACCGGTAATCCTTGGATATCCGGGAATCGTAATTTATTCCTTCTACCAAACGTGGTAATTACATTTACCAAAAAAGGATTACCGGTAATCCTCTCCAAAAACTTGAACCAAACACCCCCTTAAGGTTTTGGGTTGAGATATGGTGTCGGATCCACTTGCTACGGTTGAAGTAGCTTAGCTCATTGGTGGTGGTCTCCTGCTACGGGCTTCCCTTTAGACCCGCCTGACATTGGTATCAAAGCCGGGTTAGGCTCGAGCTAGCCTGATGATTGGCTAGGAGGAGGGTCGAGTACTTTGCGCTTGTGGTACTCGGTTGAGGGGGAGCATATCAATGGTGGGTTTCACACTTGAGGGGGAGATTGTTGGGATATTCAAGTGTGCTGAGTCCCACATTAGTTGGTAATGAGCTAAGTGAAGAGTATATAAGTAGAAGGACCCATGAATCCAATGCCTTAAGGTTTTGGATCGAGACATGGTGTCAGATCTACTTGCTACAGTTGGAGTAACTTAGCTCATTGGTAGTGGTCTCCTGCCACGGGCTTCTCTTTGGACCCGCCTGAGAAATAGTTGTTGTGCCCCAAACCTTTTTATATTAGATTAATTAGTAATATTTTATACAAATAAAATACGGATAAATAAACAAGTTAGTTTAATTTCTAATAGTATTAAAATCAGTGGCGGCGGAGCCACAAATTTTTTTTGTGAGGGGCAAAAATTCAGAAAAAAATTCAGCGAAAACCCTCCTAAAATCATTCGAATAGGCTCGATATAGTACCCACCTAAGGTACAATTCTTTGTGAATTCATGGGGGCTGAGAGTGGCCCAGTCGGATACACTCGCAATGTCTCTTTAACTACAACTTGAAGGTATACTAATCTATTAATGTTGAACTTTCTTCAAAGCAGGGCGATTATTCAGCAATGACGACAGCGCCCATGTTATAGTAAATGTTGTAGTATTCGTTGCCCCAGCAATTAGCGTCTGCAAAATGCCCTGACCATAACCTCAGAATATGGGCACTCCATATCTGCAAGCACCCTTAGGTGTGCCTGCTCCAACAGGGTGACTATGTTGAAACCCTTTGTCAAGAAAAATGCCAAATTCAACGACTTCGACTTGCATATCCCTCTGCTCATAAAGTCCTTCACAAAGCGAGCATGTGCCATCGGATCATGGTTAAACAAGTAACCAAATGGCATATTCAGAATCTCTTCCTCAGCTGGCCTAGATGACAATGACCCGTCATATTTGGGCTTAGATTTTTTTTTTTTTTTTGTCGTGATTCTCTTTGAAGGATGTCTTTCAGCCATGAATTTCAATTGCAAACCTGCAAAAGCACATAAAAATAAAAATTAATCAACAACACAAAACATAACATAATAAAAAACCAACAAAATAGTGAAGAAATCGTCCAAAAAAAATGAAATTCAAAACCCAAGGTTCATAACAAAATCGAAATTAAAAATCAAACAAACAACCCAAAAATCTAACAAAGAAAGTAAAAATTCAATAAAAAAGGGGGAATTTCGGTTAGGTTTCATAAGAAAAATCTAAATACATACCTAAATGTGATTCCAATCGATTGAAGAAAAAGAGACGGATGATGAACAAGGAAGGACCGATTGATTTCAGCAAGATTTTTGGGTGATTGCACAAAATTTTAACTCCTATTCGAAGGAGTACTCGAGTATATAAGACATTGCTTTTGGCTGAGATGAGAGTTTTATTAAAAAAAAAAAGAACCAGCTCGTGCAAGATACTTTTTTAAAATATTTCAATCGGTTCATTGTTTTGCAATTAATCTGATTCGAGGCGGATTCAGAATTAAGACTTTAAACCCTTTCCAAAAGTATTACTGGAGACATTCAAATATATGTTTTCATCCCCATCTATTTAACTCCTACACACCAAATGAGCTACCACCATTTAATTCGTGCAAGATAGTTAAGTATTTTAATGTCACTTTAAGTCATGTATTCAAGTATATAACTCAATTAATGGTCTAATAAGGACGGGGGAGTGAAATATTTTGATACGAGGGCTAAATTATTATAATATTTATTTTAATCAGCGTCAATCACCCTATATTTACTTAAAATTAAATAAATTTTAACTAAACATTAAAATATCCGATTTTACCAATTTGAAGGCGGGGTATTAGTTTGACAAGATTCGTTAAAAAGAATAAAGAAAACTAATAAAAATATTTATTAATCGGACGTTACCTATTAAATGAAAAAAAGAAAGAAAAACAAATATAATTTACATTACCGAAATATTGTTGGAACGAGAAGTACAAATTCTAATACGAAACAGGACATGTCGCGCACGTTATCATTATCCCCGTCATCTCCAATTCGAAGTTTGGGCATGTTGAATTGATTCTTTAAGGAGAGGACCAACTCACGACTCATAAAGAATATTAATATCTAGGTGTTCGATATCAAATTCCAGTTGTTATTGTTGCTTGAAAACCCTCGAAGGAATCAAGAGTGAAAAATCAAACCGAACATCTAGGTTGTCCGTGATTCTCTGTCGGTGTTGTCTCTTGAGATTCTTACAGAAAAAATTGGTCAAGTCCTAGAAATAGGATGAAGCCCATGGAGAGTGTGTATGATCTGATCCAAGAAGCCAAGGTTCGCACTCTCTGGTGGGCCCTCTCTATATTCGCCGTTTCCTATTTCCTAACTCGTAAGTGATTCTTCCAATTTTTCTTTCACTTCATTTGATTTCTCAATATCTATGTTTACTAACTCCTAACGAATCTTGTGAATTTAGAATTGGTAGCTCGAGGTTTATCAATTTTGCTTGCATAATCTTTATCATTGCTGCTTTAGCTCATTGGTAATAGTGATGAATTAGTATGGAATTTCATAGATGAACTGAACTTACTGTGATTGTTTAAGTGCCTATATGTTTTGGGGGTTGACTCTAGTTTGACTATTCATTATGGTTTTAGTTGTGACTTCAAATGGGGTGTTCCTGTCTTTGTTAAAAGGAAACAAGGAATAATAGAAAACCACTTCCCGTTCAACTCGGACTAGTGAGGGTGTGGTGACGGAAATTCTTGTAATGCTGCCTTACCCTTGTATGAGATTGTTTCTTGGATTCGAACCCATGACCTTTCAGTTACAAAGGAGCATTATTACCACTACTCTAGGCCCGCCATCTCTAAAACAAGGAATAATATATTATGATTTTCATTCAAGTGGCCTGCTATTTTTTTTTTTTTGGGTACTCATGTTTTATATGATGATTATCTGTCACAGATACAAGTAAATCAATGTGGATGAATGTACCCATGTCAATCCTTTTTGTTTCTGCACTGCGTATTTTTTTCAATAAGGTGGAGTTCCGTTGGAAGGTTAAACAGCCTAGAGCACAGACTTATCTATCTCATTTGGAGAAAAAACAGTTGTCTCTGAATGATCCACGCCTCTCCAGTTCGCCTCCCCCTGCGAAATGGAAGAGGAAAATTGGTTCTCCTGTTGTGGAGGCTGCAATGAGTGATTTCGTTGATAAGATATTGAAGGATTTCGTGGTTGATTTGTGGTACTCGGAAATTACTCCCGATAGGGAGTTTCCTGAGCAGATACGTGCAATAATCATGGATGTTCTCGGTGAAATATCAGGAAGAGTTAAAGAGATAAACCTTGTTGACTTGCTGACAAGGTATCTTGTTTTCCCTCTCTTATATTTGCTGCCAGACGGAAAGTATTAGAAAAACTACTAATTGTCTTATGTTTCACTCACATTACAGGGATTTAGTTAATTTAATAGGTGATCACTTAGAACTTTTCAGAAGAAATCAAGCTACTATAGGTGTTGATGTTATGAAAACATTATCTTCTGATGAGAGGGATGAAAGATTGAAATTCAATCTGTTGAATTCTAAGGAGCTTCATCCGGCACTAATATCTCCTGAGAGTGAGTACAAGGTGTGAGTGGAGTGTCCTGATGTTATATACGTTTCTTTTGAGAATTATGTTTCGTATCTTATCTAATGAATGCTCTTCTTGTAGGTTCTTCAGCGGCTAATGAGTGCAGTTTTAGCTATAGTACTGAGGCAACGAGAAGCTCAGTGTCCTGTGGTTCGTTCTATTGCTCGGGAACTTTTAACTTGCTTGGTAATGCAGCCTATTATGAATTTGGCAAGCCCTGGGTATGTTGTTGAATACTTTGTCTTATATTAATTTTTGTAATAATTCATTTCGGGGGGGTGAGGGGATCTTAACAATATCTACTCTATGGAAGGGTTGCTGCACTATATTCAAGGTTTAAATACTACTTTTTAAACTTTTGTGTGTTTTCTAGGGGGTGGGGGGTATTTTTTTTTTATTGTTCTTGGTTGAAACCATAGTTTGGGCCTGCATGGTTAAGCAGGTGGAAAGTGGAAAGTTGCAAAATAGAGGACGGAATGGAAATTATATCAAGCAAGTGTAAAGTGATTTTCATTCCAAATTTTCCACATACTTTACTCAACCAACACAAGAAAACCTCCCTGCCATGATTCTGTTCTGGCTGTATGCTTTTGAAGTTGTAGATTTGCAACTACGAGGCTAGAAAAAGTGGGAGGTTATGGATGATAAGCTTGGAGGTTGAGAGGTGAAAGGGTAGCTACTGGACAGAAAAGTTTTAATATATTTTGAATGTCAAAGCAGAGTGTGAGGGGAAATGTTATGGGATTTAGGGTATTAGTAGTTTAGTGATGAGTCTTTGAGTATGCAAGAAAAATGGTACAGAACTTAAGGGGCTGTGAATTATTACCTGGGGATTAGATATGTATGGATTAAATCTAAAATGTACTAATCGACTAATCCTAATTATTATGTTTCCATTTTGAAACAATGGGTTTGGGCTTTTCCCATCTATCATCTGTTAAACCCTCCTGTTTCATCAAAGAACAATTCCTAAATAAAAGATTTATAAATAGGTTTAAAAGAGCAAAACATATTGTTTAATAGAGACAACTGATAACATTTCAATGCACAAGTATTTTAGAAAATATTTGCTTCCTAATTTCTGAAATAAACATATCACGTTGTCATCTATGAGACTGGAAATTGTAATAGCATTTTAACTATGTTTCTTTATATTTATTGCAATTCCCATTCATAATAATATATTTATCTTTATGATCAGGTATATTAATGAGCTGATTGAATCCCTTCTACTTCTCCTTAATGATGATGGTGCAAAATGGATGGGTGGTGATCAGTCAACTAATGTAGCAAGTCATCATCATGGTCATTCTTTTGCTAATGGGGGTGAACATGACAATATCAGGGCCTCCGATAAACATTCATCTCTAAATCAAGGAACTGATATTAAAGTGGCTAAAACGAGTGATAAGGGAGATACATCATTACAATTTAACACACTCCGTCAAGAACCTTTGCAGGTCAGACATGCTGATTGGGCTCAGTTGTTGGAGGTTGCAACTCAGAGGAGAACTGAAATTCTTATGCCTGAGAATCTTGAGAACATGTGGACAAAAGGAAGGAATTACAAAAGGAAAGAGAACAAAGTTATCAAAACTGGCATTCAGGATGTTCCTGCAAAGAATCCTCCCATTGACAGTTCACTACCTTATAGAAAATTGGCTCATGAAACATTGGTGAGTGAACTTGGAAAGTATGCAGTTGCAGAAGGGAAGTCTTCTCCGCCACCAATGCATGCTTTGGGTTCAGATCCCGTAAAAAATGTTGGAAGTACAAATAGTTCAGAATCTTCTCGAAACCCTTACAAGGAATTATCTTTTGAAGGAGAGCTTGGAGTTGATAAAGGGAAGGGTATTAGGGATCTTACTTCTGATGGGTATAAAAGTCTGCTGAAGAGGTCAAACAGTGCTTCTGCCTTGGAAACCCTACCTAATAAAGATGGAGGCTCCATAATTTCAGAGTTGTACAACCCTGAATTTGAGAGGCACAGTGAAGGATTTCGGGGAAAGAGTTCTTCTGACATGATTGTTAGGAAAGAGGTGCAATTGCTTCCTAAGCTCCGGTGCCGGGTATGCACTTTTGGCTGTAAAAAAGTTTTAGATATAGTATTCTAAAAATCGATTTAAAATCTATTTTGCATACTGGTATACCCTTTATAAATCAGAATGGATTTGACTTCCACATATTTCACTGTGAGTACTTGTTGATTGTTTTTTTCTCTACTGGAGCATTGCAGGTTATGGGAGCATATTTTGAGAAACTTGGATCCACATGTTTTGCTGTCTATTCAATTGCAGTTGTTGATGCACAAAATAGAACTTGGTTTGTAAAAAGAAGGTTTACTTCTTTCATACATTCTTATAGCAGTGAGAGTGAACAATTTATCGTTGTCTAAAATTTGAAATTTTACAGACAATTTAATTGAACTGGGTATATACAGGACGTAATGTTTTAAGTTCTAACCATAAAATAAACTGCCAGGATCACTGAATTAGATTTTTTTTTTCTAATCTTTCTCTTTCCTGTTTCCCCCATTTTGAGTTTAAACTGCCTTATCATAGAGAATAAACATGTTCAAGTCTCAAAATTGTTTTTTTTCACCTTTATATCTGTGCTTTGACCTTATCATAAATACTTTTGGTGATATTCAGATACAGGAATTTTGAGAGATTGCATCGGCATCTTAAAGATATTCCCAATTATACATTACATTTGCCTCCCAAAAGGATATTTTCCTCAAGCACAGATGACGCCTTTGTGCATCAACGTTGCATTCAGCTTGATAAATATCTCCAGGTGTTCATTGTCTAAAAATAAACCTCTTTAAAGACATAGTTTCCTTTTGTACTTTTTAAATAATCATGTCCTTGCTTAAATTATGCTGTCTTGCTTCAGGATCTCCTGTCAATAGCTAATGTTGCAGAACAACATGAAGTATGGGACTTTTTTAGTGCTTCCTCAAAGGTGCGCATCTGCTTGTTATTACTTATCATAACTTACATGTTATCATTTCTCTTGGTAATTTTTGGATGCGAAAATTGACAATCTAACAAACTGTTTTTTTTCCTCTCTGTTTTACCCCTGAAGAACTACTCTTTTGGGAAATCTTCTTCAGTGATGAAGACCTTGGCAGGTATCTAGTTTTAGGTTCTAACATTTTAGTTTTATGTCATTATGCAGTTTAAGTACTCAGGATGTAGCTATTCTATGTATGGTGGCCTCTCCTGTTAATCTTCTCTTGAGTTAGTGGAATTTTGATTGGCAGTTCTGTTTTTTAAACTTAAAAGTCTGGGTACAGTTAAAATATAATAAAAAGAAAGATTGAATAGAAGTGGGAGAAAAAGCTTCCTGCTTTACCTACCATTCTTGTATACCTCTTCTCTGTTATTTGAGGATTCAAGCCCATGAGATGGAAAGGTTGGACAGGATAGAATAAAGGGCTAGGCAGCTATAATATGATTGAACATTTTAGTTGAAATTAAATATAGCTCTTCTTTGTCTATAATAGCTGCAGTTATTTAGTTGGAAATCAAAACTATGTTAATATAGAAAATTCTCTTTCAATGAATTTATTTACCTCTAGTTTATAGAAACTTTTGCATGAAGGGATTTTTCTTTTATTTTCTTTGTAATGTGGACTGGAATGCTGTATAGCTACTTATAAGAGGATTGTGTTGAAATAAATATGTCATTTTCTTATTCAAAAATCAGTCCTTTCTTTGTTTTTCAATGGTATTGCATATTTATTTTTTGAATTTAATCCTAATTTGCAAAAGGTTTTTAAATGTGGAGATTTTTATTGGCTTTTGTGGGTATTAATTCCAAGTACAACATTTGAATTTTTTATATTAACAGTCAATGTAGATGATGCTGTGGATGATATTGTACGCCAGTTCAAAGGGGTTTCAGATGGTTTAATGCGGAAGGTTGTTGGTTCAACATCCCCCTTCAATGAAGGTTCTTCTACATCTACCACACACAACTTGTCCTGGAATGCAGATGAAATAGATAAAAGTATTCCAAGGCTAAGTCCTACCGAAAGTGTGTTAAGCTCTGATAATGAGGAAGGTGAAAAGAACAGTAATTTTGGCCATGAGAATATTGATAGAGAAGTAACACAAAATAATAGGTGGCATTCTGACAAAGCATCGATCTTGAAGGACACATCAACGGTTATAAATCGTGCTGAAGAGTCTGGCAACTTAGATTTAGACAGAAGGCATGATGTGGCAGTGGAAGCTAGGGTTGGTAATGATGTTCCAGCTACAAATTTCATTCTTGTTCATGATAATTTGGAGGATCCAGTTGGAGTGCCAGTGCCACCAGAGGTCTGTGTAGTCAACTGACTTTGCTTTTCTTTTCTGGTTTACACGTTGCATTTTAACTGATGATTGATAAACCTGGTTCTCTGTTATCTATTGTTATGTGCTTAGATTATTTATTAGCTGTTTATTGTTTCTGGGACCAGGCTGCTGACTAGAATGCTGCCTACTTGGCCAATTTGGGATTGGGAATAGCATTTATAACTGAGACATGATGAAACCATTCAACATTAATACTTCTGTTGCACTCTTACCTTCCTTTATGAAAAAATAGTGATCCCTCCAAATAAAAAGTATGAAAAGAATCTGTACTTTTACTGAGTTTAGTCATGAGCTGGCTAAAAGCTAGTTCTACTTTCTTGCATGAGCTTTTGATTGTCCCATCAGCATGTATCCACCAAATATTTGAGGAAGCTGAGCTATTATCTGTCATCCTAGCTTTCATAGATTTGTTCTGGTCTTTAAGTCCCTGTTCCCCCAAATATTTACCAAATCCTTAGGACGGAAGTTGTTTCCAGTGTTTCTTTTTCATAAATTAAAAATGAGAAGCAGGGGGCAAACATATTGGTGTTCCAGAAAATGTTTGGAAAACATTCTCAGTGGTGTATTGTAGCCCCTCCTTTTCACCTTCTCTCATTCCAAGGGAAAGAATTATGATTTAAGAACCAGAAGAAAGCAGGACTAGAGTTTACTTGGAATTTCAAAAGCAGGATGTTGTCAGGATCTTTTTGCTTTCCGTTTTTCTTCATTCTTTGATGAGAACTTTTTTGTTTGTTTTAAAATACACTATGAATATTCATAAGTTTGATATTTTTCATTTTTGCAGTGGGCCCCACCTAACGTGAGTGTCCCTGTTTTGAATTTGGTTGACAAGATATTTCAGCTTAAGAAGAGAGGCTGGCTAAGGTATACTACACTATCTGGTTGCTCTGTAATTCAAGTCAAGTAACTGCTTGAACTTGTGTCTGTAACTCTATATATTGTCTAAAATTTTAATCTTATATCAATTTGCATAAGCTTCTGATGGAACCTAATATTATGTGATTATGCATGTTGTTAGAGACAAGAATCATTTCTAGGCTTGCATTGCACCTAACGTTCGTAGAATATAATCTGGTTTGTTACACCACACGAACCAGCCCCTTGGCTGTGTTTCACTCTTTTTCTTCTCTCAGTCTGTTAAGGGTAGTTTTAGAGTGGGCAGAATAGTAGAGAAATGACAGAGAGAAGGAACAGGGAGGAAGGATGAGAGAATAATAGGAAGGAAATAGTTTCTTCTTGTTTATTCCATTTGGCCTTTATAACATGGATTTAAATACTAAATGGTAAACCCAATAAATGGTAATCCTAATCGATACCAATTGGGACCAATTGATATCAATCTAATCATTTTATTAATGCTAATTGAAATGCTAAAAAGGGTAAAGCTAATAAATGCTAATGTTGATTGATAGGGATCAGGGTTAATTGATAACAATCTAATCCTTTATTAATGAAAGCTAGTAAATGTTAATTGTTGCCGCTAACGATATGATTAGAATCTCCCATAGCCACTTTTAGGAAGGTTTCTGTGCCTGGAGTAAATGCGCAGACCCTGGTGTGTAACACAGTCCTTCTCTATTTCCTTGTAGAATCGTATCTAGACTCTTGCCCTGCACCTGTTGATTGGAAGTTGATAATATTATCATTTCTGTACTTGCAGAAGACAGGTCTTCTGGATATCAAAACAGATATTACAGCTGGTGATGGAAGATGCTATTGATGATTGGCTCCTAAGGCAGATTCAATGGCTCCGGAGAGAGGACAGTATTGCCCAAGGGATTCGATGTGTCCAAGATGTAAGTACAGAGCCAATTTTATGCCAACTCAGAGAAATGAAGCTTTTTATACAAATTAACAGTAGTAAAAACTAGGTTTGACTTAATTCTCAATAGGTTGATTAAATAACCACTTCTCTGTCTGATGTGTGCATCTAGAGCACGGTATAGTTGTAATGGGCTAATGGTTGTCTGTTAATAGATACCATGATTGGACAAAATATCCGACTCACCTGTACACCTAAGAGAAGCCATATAAACAATCTTGTACCGTACCAAGAGTAGTAAACAATTGTGCATTCCACTCAAACTAAAGACACCAAACAACTGCATGTTGTGTGCAAATGTTTCATGTTGTTTGCTCATCCTTTCAGGTCCTCTGGCCTGGTGGTGCGTTTTTTTTAAGAGTAGGGACTCCTCAGATAAGTAGTAGTGGCAGTGACCAAAAGCCTCCTACAATAAGAGGATCTGGTGGAAGCAATATCACCAAATCTCAGTTGGGGTCTTTTGAGGAAGAGCTTGAGGCTGCTCGTAGAGCAAGTGACATCAAGAAACTGCTTTTTGGTTAGTTTTATTTTCAGTAGAGTCCTATGTTGAATAATTTGAGATTGGTTACTAATGGATATTCTTGCACTTTCGAAGTTTTATTTATTCTTCTTTCCTGTATATTTCATCTGTCTTCAAAGGTGAGTGCACAAACACGCCAATTACTTTTACTCATTTGCACAGAGATCTCAAGGCTTATTTGTTGTGAACACACCCCATGTTTAGTTATCTTGTAATTAGACCCTTTCTATATACTCTCTTTACAAATTGATTGCCTAAAAGTAATATGTTAATTTGTCAAATGTTCAAATTGTTTAATCTGGTTATTACTTCATAGTGATATGAATGAAGAAATTTATATAATTCTAGAATTTATCGTTGATCATCAAATTTTTAATGTTCTTTTGTTGTGTTATTTAAAACTTCAAATAATCATATGTATTGCTCAAATTGCACCAACTTCTATAATTTATTTACGAATAACTAGACCACACAGGGCGTGTAAGTGTACTTGCAAGTTTGCAATAATTGAAACTTAATGTGGTAGTTGGATGAAGTTATAGCATATATTTCTTTTACCTTGTACATAACTTGGACGTTATATCTCATCTTATTTATATAGTTATGGAATTTTTTGTTCCTTAATATATCTTTTGTTATTTGAAAATGCAATTGAATTATGGGTACCATTTCTGCAACCATCAGAAAATGTGAAAGGATATTTTTTTTTATCATCACTAATTAGTTGAAATTCATGATTTATCTACATTTAATATTCTCTTGAGGAGAGGTTTTCTGGTGAACTTAGCGGCTGAAGGTCTTTGAATGTTACTGTATTTTCATGTTCTTTATATGGTCTTTAGAATCTTGGGATGGTTGAAATAAATAGCTGTTCCATTCTCAGAATTTACATCACCAGACTCTGACATATAAAGTTTCCACCGTTCTTATCAGATGGAGCTCCAACAACTTTAGTGAGCTTAATCGGGCATAAGCAATACAGACATTGTGCCAGGGATATATATTACTTTAGTCAGGTTAAATCCCCATCCCATTGCTGTGTGGTGCAGATTTCTTTCTTGTGTTTTTGCCTTAATTTTTGTTCTGTCTGCTTGAAAATTTTTCTGCTAAACTAACAATTCTACCTTCTTGCGTTTCAGTCTACTATATGTGTGAAGCAACTTGCTTATGCAATTCTGGAACTTCTACTTGTCTCCATCTTCCCTGAGATACGGAATGTTGTGTTGAGTGTTCATGAGAATATGCATGTTCACCAACCTGTATAGAGTTCCATATCACCTGTTATAGTGGCCTGCATATGCTGTAGATGAAATTGGGAATAACACGTTTTTTTTGTCTGGTGTCATTGGTTTTATGGCTTTGCTGGCTTGTACCCTTTCCAGATACAAGAACAGGAGCCATAACTAATGATTTGGGAACTTGGTGATTGGTTTTGTATCTAATGCCATGTCAACTGTATAAAACTTAGATTTAGGGCGTGTACAGAAACAATGATTTTTGTGGATTCATTGTGCTTCTTTGTCAAGGCATACCCCATTTCCATGGGGATTTTTGTATTGTTAGAGACTCGAGAAAATGCATCTAGTGAATATTCTTTATTCGTTCACCATTGGGATTTGAGACTTTTTCATGCTCCTCAGTAGTACTATAATGTTTTCTATTTCCAGTTTCGCGTATTATTTAAGGTAAAACGTGTACGATGTTCGGGACACAGCACCATATGTCTCTTCATATTATATTATGGGGTTAAGACTTTAGAGTTTAGACATTGCCAACTCAATCTCGCTGGTACCGCACTTGTCTCCTTTATTGGAGTCAATTTGCCTCGCTCGTTCTTAATACAGTTATCTAAAAAGTTATTATATTAGTTAATTTTTATAAATTTTGTAATTTATATGAAATGATGGATTAATTTTAAATTTGTCATTTGTTATTATATAAATTTAATATAAAATAATTTTTAGTAAAAATGTAATAGGTGTGTTTTAATATTGTTCTTGAACGTGTTTGGATTTTTATCCCTAAAAGATATATCCTAATGTTAACTATCCACCCTAATTTTCTTATATATATATATATATATATATATATATATATATATATATATATATAATTGTTAACTACTTAGTGAGAATAAATATTCACTCATCCATTCACAAATTTTTTAATAAGGATATTTTTTTATTATTAAAATTTAATATTTTTTTTCTTTAAACAAACTTTGTATAGTTGTTCTTAATGATTTAAATTTTTTTTATGTCAGTCAAAATTAAATATTTGTTTAATGGTATTTAATTAAACTTAATAGTCAATAAACATTTGATAAGTCACTTATGCTACAAATATTCAAGAAAAAAAACTGACACCAAAATAATCCATATAAATGTTTTTTCTATCAAGTTTCGTGTTTCATATAACGCATCATTTTGATGTTGTTTTTAAATATTTAAAAGTCTAGTTTCATGTCAAGTTTTTTAAAGAACTAGATTAGTATCAAATTAATCTTTAACAATATGTTTGAAAGATTTAAAAAAATGGAAATAAATATATGATAATATAATGAAATGAAATTATTAAAATGGCAAGCAAAATATACATGTTATTCTATCATTTGGTTACTGATCAGTCTAATAAATATTGATCTGAGCTTTAATACACGCAGTTGAGAAAAGAGGATGTTGATGAAGAGAAAGAAAGTTGAGCAGTGTATTGCCGAGATGTTAGGAAGCTTGGCGAGATGGTTTGGAGCACTTTGAGTATTTGGGCAATTTGGAGGAGACTGGGGGTACCTGCATGGCATTCTGACACTCAAGTCAGTTCAATATTCAATATGGTCAAAGTATTCAAAGAGAAATATCATATCTGGGCTAAATGACTCTGTATTTATAGTGTAGAGCACCTTTGTTTCATACCACCTTTTACATGACGGTGTTCTTGTTTATTAGTGGAGAGGGATGACATCTCTCAGGCTATTCCTTAGCGGTCAAGCCTAGGGTCAAGCTAGATTCAGTAGACGTAGTGGCAAGCTAGAGCTGTCATTCGTTCATTTGGTTCAAGTGGTGGCCAACTTGTCTGAGCTATTGATCTCGACAATGATGATTCCTTTCATGTTAAGTCATGTTTGTCTTGTTAGTCAAGTAAATGAGATCCCACAAATGGATTGCCTTTGTGGTCAATTACAATGGGTTTTCCGGGCCATTTGAACCTTTATTGGTTTGGTTCTGTATCTCGCATGTAGTAGGTCCATATCAAATGCTAAACTCCTTTATTTGAAGGGATACAAATTTAGAGTTGTGAAGGGATAAATATCCGAAAATCTCTCAGTTATTATTCCATTATTTCTCTTCTAAAAAACTCTCAAATACCTAATTCATAAAATTTACCATGTCATTTGGTGGCATATAATTAATTCCTATCCGACCAGACCTACTACAAACGGAGCACAATCTTAGTCTAAATTCAGAGCCAAGTATAATCATCTTTCTCATATTTACACATTTTTTACTTGCTAAGCATATCTTTGAAGTTTTATCAGATAATGGATCCTTCACCACAGTCTTGTGGGCTTGTGACGATTTTTGGGCCTGAAGTATTGGTCCAGATTATCATCCATCCAAATATATTTAAAAGAGTAAACTGTTAGTTTAATCTAAATTTTTTAAATTAATCTTTTTGATTAGTGAATTGTGTGTATCCCGCTACTATTTCCCATAGGCTTAGATTTCCCACCATTTCCTCTTCTCACTGTTGGCCAAAACAAAAAGCCCCATAACTGAGTCAGTCACAGTCACAGAACCACACACACTGACTCTACACCTTCTTCATCAACAGAGAAAATGAAAATGGGCACTCGGAGAAAAAAGAGTGAAGAATCTTCTGATTTTAAAGATGGTGACACTGAGAGTGAAGGAAGCAAAAGGGCAAAAAAAGAAAGTGACTTTTCACACTACGAGCAGATAAGGGACCAAAGGATCAAAGAGAACATGGAGAGAATGCAGAAGCTGGGCTTATTGGACCTCTCTCTTAAGCTCAAGCACCAAAAGAAAAACTCACACGACAAGAAGAAGATGAAAGCTTTACCACCCAGCCAATCACCCTCAAGACGTTCTTCCAGGTATTTTAACTTTGTTAACACAAGTTTTGGTGAAAATGAAACGTGAAAGGAGCAAAAAAATTTCATGGGTTTGTTTTTTTGTCTTCAAAGATGTTAGCTTTTAAATACAAAAAAAAAAATGTTAGCTCCCACTTCCAGTTTGTGTTTGGTGACGACAAAGTTGGCGGTGGAAGCTAAAGGAGAGCAAGTGTTTCACATTTTTTGTTTTTTCTTGTTATCTCTGTTGTAATGTAGGAAATGATACAGATGTGAGACATGGAATGGACTTTAAAATTTTAAGTTATTTGTGTGTAAAAATTTGGTTTCTATTATAGGTAGTACCCTATCATTTATTTAATTGTTATGGTATCTTAGTGTATGAAAATTTTAAAACTAATTGAAAGATTAGAACTTAAAAGTATTTACTGCTTAAAGGTATTCGAAGAGTGAAGATTTTTAGACAAGATACTACTAATTTGACATTGGTACCACAACTATTTTGAAATGACTTGAAAGAAAAGGGTATTTGAAATATTATTGAATTGTGTTAATAATCTGGACAAAGAGGTCTCTATTTATAGAGAATGAAAACCCTAATACTTGACCTAATGGGCTTGGTCCAATACAACAAATATTAATAATAATAAAATAACAAATATTTACAACACTCCCCCTCAAGCTGAGGAATAGATATTTATCATTCCCAGCTTGCTAGTAAGTTCTTGAAATCTGTCTGAAGGAAGTCCTTTTGTCAATAGATCAGCTAATTGACACCCAGTGGGAATGTATGGAGTGGTAATCAACTCGCTATCAAGTTTCTCTTTGATTAAATGGCGGTCGACCTCAATATGTTTAGTGGATCATGTTGAACTGGATTATGAGCTATACAAATAGCGGACTTATTGTCACATAGCAGCATCATAGGTCCCTCACATTTTATTTTGAGATCATCAAGTATAATTTTCAGCCACAGTAACTCACAAATGCCTTGAGCCATAGCTCGAAATTCAGCTTCTGCACTTGATCTGGCGACCACATCTTGTTTCTTACTTCTCCATGTCACCAAGTTACCGCAAAGAAACATGCAGTAACCAGTGGTAGAACGACGGTCAGTCACGGATCCAGCATAATCAGCATTAGTGTAAACTTCTAAAAAGAGATTGCCATCACGTCGGAATAACAATCATTTACCAGGAGTAGCTTTAAGATACTGTCTCTCTACTGCCTGCATGTGTTTCTCCTTTGGATTGTGCATAAACTGACTGACAACACTAACAGCATAAGCTAGGTTTGGTCTAGTATGAGCCAGATATATCAATTTCCCAACTAGCCGTTGATATTGTCCTTTATCAACTGGAGGACTCTCTTCTTCATAGCCTATCTTGTGATTCTGCTCAATAGAAGTATTAGAGGGTTTACACCCGAGCTTTCCTGCTTCTTTGAGAAGATCAAGAACATATTTCCTCTGGCTAATAAAAATTCCTTTCCTTGAATGAGCTACTTCTATCCTAGGAAATATCTCAGTTTCCCAAGGTCTTTGACTTCAAACTCAGAGGCAAGCCGTGTTTGCAGAATCTGTTTCTCCACAAAATCATCACCTGTGATAATAATATCATCAACATATACAAGGAGCACAGTAAGCTTCCCATTATAGGAGTGCTTGAAGAAAAGAGTGTGATCTCCTTGACTCTGTCTGTATCCTAAGGTCATCATAACCTTAGTAAACCTTCCAAACCAGGCACGAGGTGACTGCTTCAATCCATACAAGGCCTTTTTTAATCTATAAACTTTATTTTCTCCCTTCACAGAATCAAAACCAGGCGAGATTTCCATGTAGACTTCTTCTTCTAACTCACCATTGAGGAAAGCATTTTTTACATCAAATTGATTTATATCCCGATTGTAATGGGCAGCAAGGGATAACAAGACTCTCACCGTATTCATCTTTGCAACTGGAGCAAATGTTTCTTCATAATCAATGCCATAGGTTTGAGTGTAACCTTTGGCAACTAATCGAGCCTTGTATCTCTCAAGAGTTCCATCAGAATTATATTTCAGGGCATAAACTCATCTGCACCCTACTGCTTTCTTTCCATTAGGTCTATCAATAACCTCCCATGTTTTATTTTTCTCCAACGCATTCATTTCCTCTTGCATGGCTTGAGCCCAATTCCTATCTTTCAAGGCTTCATGTACTGATTTTGGGATTGCAATAGAGTCTAGTGCTGAAACAAAGCTTTTGTGCTGCACAGAAAGATTAGCAGAGGAAACAAAATGGGAGATAGGGTATTGAGTACAAGAGGGACAGGAGGGACAAGATTTCTTGGGACAAGCTCTTTTTCCTTTTCTAAGAGCAATGGGTAAATCATGAGAATCAGTAGTAATGGGTAAGTCATCAGAAGTATTAACATCATGATCAGAAATATGAGATTCAGGACTTACCAGTGGTTCAGACGATTGAGGTTGCTGCTGAGACAATGTGGGCTGTTTCCTTCTTTGATATACCAACTCAGGTGTCATAATCTTCCGTATCTCTGGTGTACTTGATGTATCAATCACAGGAGAATCAGTCACAGGAGGATTACTCACAGGAGGAACAGGACCAAGAGGAGGATACACTGACACAGGTAAAGGAGTAGACACTGAAGATTCAAACTCAAAGAAGGGAGGTGATGAGATCTCTGGTGAAGGATTCTCCCCCTGAAGATGAGGACCTTGGAAAAAGGACTCAAATTCCTGAAATGTAACATCCATAGAAACAAAAAATTTCCTACTACTAGGGTGATAGCACTTGTAGCCCTTCTTATCAGGAACATAACCAAGAAAAACACATTTAATAGCCCTAGGGTCCAACTTACTGCGATGATGTTTATGAATATGAACAAAAGCAACACACCCAAACACTCGTGGAGGAAGACTCATAGTTGGAATAGAAGGGAAAAAAGAAGTCATAGAGTGAATAGGACTTACATGGTCAAGTACTCGAATGGGTAAACGGTTGATCAAGAATGCTGCAGTAAGAATAGCATCTCCCCAATAGTATTTGGGTACATGTGTCTGAAACATTAATGCACGAGCCACTTCAAGAAGGTGACGATTTTTTCTTTCAGCAACCCCATTCTGTTGGGAGGTGTCAACACAAGTAAGTTCATGAATCATACCGTTATTTCTTATAAATTGGGAAAAACTGTGATTAACATATTCAGTACCATTATCTGTTCTTAGTCTCTTGATTTTTTTACCAAACTGGGTCTCAACCATTTTATAAAATTGAAAGAACAGTTGTGATACCTCAGACTTTTCACGCATTAAGTACACCCAAGTTACACGAGTGCAATCATCAATAAAAGAAACAAACCATCTATTTCCAGAAGCATGAGGGACCCCAAACATCAGAATGAATAAGATCAAAAGGTTCAACACTCTTAGTAATACTAGAAGGAAAAGACACACGATGATGCTTAGCAAATTCACAAACATCACAATGAAAAGACTCAACAGACTTAGACAAAAACAATGACGGAAATAAAGATTTGAGTAAACTAAATGGAGGATGATCTAAGCGCTTATGATGAAGCCAAATCAAAGAATCAGCCGTTGATTGACCATGAGACATCAAGATGTGATCTGTTACTTTATTTGCAGGAGGTTGTGACACCAGATAGTACAACCCACCTTGCTTTTTAGCACTACCAATCGTCTTCCCGGTGGCGAGATCCTGAAAAACACAATGGGTAGGATAGAAGGTTACAGTACAATTCAAATCTTTTGTAATTTTATGAATAGAAAGAAGATTCGTGGAGAGTTTAGGAACATGAAGAACATCCTTAAGATGTAAGGACTGCTGTAAGTTTATGTCACCAGAACCCGCAACTGATGTATGAGAGCCATCAGCTACGGCTATTGTATGAGTTCTAATGGTAGGATGATAAGAAGTAAAGGAGTCAGCACAACAAGCCATATGATCAGTAGCACCAGAATCAACAACCCAAGAATGTTTAAAATCAATACATGAAGAAAGGAAAGAATAAGTTTTGGAGCTCATACCAGTCATAGTCAAAGCACTAGTATCAGATGGCTTACTCATAAAATCAAGAATGGTTCAGAGCCGTTCCAACTCATCTAGCGAAATGCGCTTGACCACGCAACCTTGCCATCTTTTCTAAGACAGTTTGCTTTCCATGGAGGCAAAAGCATAGATCTTTGATATGACCTGTTCTTTTACAATAAGAACACCATCGATCATCTCTTCTAGAAGATGCACCATCAGAAAACTTGGTAAAGGAACTCCTTTGAGAAGAAGCCATACTGCACAAAACTTGTCAAAGAATAGCACCAAGTATCCAAAAAATACGGAAAAAATACCAAACGACGTCCGATCTGAGAAAAAATCACAGATCCAGAAAGAGGATGAAGAGACGATCAGAACGCCGTTGACCGGAGCTGGAAAGAAGTAGTCACGCGCCTCCACGCGCCGGTGGAGGTGTTTGCAAGTGGGCCTCACTCGCCGGGAGTGTGGAAGCGCGTGGGAGCGCGTGCGGCGGCCGCCGGAGCTGGGATTTTTACCGTGAGGTCGTCCGGAGGTGGCGGTCCCTTCTGTGGCTGAGCGGAGTCCAAACGGTCACCAGAAAGTACTGTTCCAGTGATGAACAGTAGTGGGTTTGAGTTGTTCTTGAGAGATCCGGCCGTCAATTGATTGTAAAAGGTCCACAGACTGATAGATCAGAGAAAAAAGGTTTGAAAACAGGTCCTCTCGGTCCAAAAAAGGTCCCCGAAAAAAATTTCCGGTGGCGGCTGATGGGCGGCGAGAGGAGGAAAGGAGAAGCGGTAATTGCGGAAGCAGGGCCCTCAGGATCGAGAGCTCTGATACCAACTTGAAAGAAAAGGGTATTTGAAATATTATTGAATTGTGTTAATAATCTGTACAAAGAGGTCTCTATTTATAGAGAATGAAAACCCTAATACTTGACCTAATGTGCTTGGCCCAATACAACAAATACTAATAACAAATATTTACAACAAAATGTCATTACTTCTTTGGGGTCTGATTGATTTGGTGTCTTAGATAGTATGGAAGCATTGCCTCTTCTCACTCTTACCATTACATATAATACAAAGATAAAAGAAAATAAAAGGGATAATTTTTTCAAACTTATTTTCTGATTTAGAATTTGGTTTTGCATTATTACCAGAGTTGAATTCTTTTGTTGTTTGAATTTTGGTAGCTATGGTTGGTAAATCTAATTTTTTTATTTTATGGGGTTACAGATTATTGAGCGTGGCCCCAGTTGACTATAATGAGCGTCATTCATCTATTAAGGAAGAGAAGGAAGAGAAGGAAGTAAAGATTTTTATACCAGAAGGTAGAAACCCTGAAGTTTACACTGAAGAGCATGAGAAGCTTCTGGGAGATTGTGAAACCATTTGGGAATTGTATGTAGATGGATATGATGAAGATGGGGAACGTATATATGATGCAGTCAAGGGAGAGTCATGCCATCAATGCAGGTGATATATTGATTTCCTTGTATGGTTTATTAGTTTCTAATTTCTACATGACATAATTTCTATTGAAACAAGAAATCAGAAGCTTATATTGTTACAAGAAGATACAGAATTCTTACATTAGAACATTGCCGTGTCTTCTCCCTGTTTTATTTATGTTTCCATTTATTAAAACTTTCCTCTCTTTGACTTATGTCCTGTATTTCCAAAATATTCCTATTGTAATACACCCTAGATTCCAGTTTCATTACATGAAGCATTTTATCATCCCTTGTGTTGCATTTTTAGATTGCAAATTTTCTTTAACATGCTTGGCACATAGACATATTTTATTTTATAAAAGGAGATCATCATGTTTGATCTACAACATCATGGGTTCTGTTGCTGTTATATCAATAAGTTGGAAACTTGGAATAAGAAGGCTCTTGCAATTTAGCTACTCATTTTTTTCTGCAATTAGTACTTGTATGCCTTTACAATGATCTTGCCTCAGGGAAAATGGTTTTAGGCATTGGTGTTTTGATTGAAGAACTAAGATCCAGTTCCTTTCGTCGTTAATCTATAAAGTTGACACATCAAGTCTTACATAACACATATGATACTTGTTTCCTTGATCATGGTGAAGTTTTTGGTAAATCATTTGTTTTCTTGCAGGCAGAAAACTCTTTGTCAGCATACCAGTTGCAACAAATGCGAATTATCTCAAGGGCAACTCTGTGGAGATTGCTTGTACACGAGGTAACATTGTTTAAGCCGAGGTTCAGTTCAGATTTTGAAAAGGACTTCTCTTTTCATTAATACTTCAAAAAATGCTGGTGTCTGTTATTATATTACCACACAGTGATGAAATACTGTGGCTCCATCTAAAACTTAACAAGTATAGATATTGCCTTGTGTCTGCTGCTTCTTTTATGCTGTCAAGTTTGATGCTAGTCATTTTATATTGATGTTTTGTAGATATGGAGAAAATGTGATAGAAGCAAACCATGATCCCAAATGGACTTGCCCGGCTTGTCGGGGAATTTGCAACTGCAGTCGTTGTCGAAGGGAAGAAGGTTGGATGCCTACCAGTAATATATACAGGAAGGTTAGTTATTGCACAATCTAACATTTGCTTTTTGTTCTATTTTCTTCAGACTTCAGAGTATGGGATAAAAATAATTGCAGGTCATCATAAATGAGTACATATATTTGCTTCAACATTCTTTCAAGAAAGTGTTTCCCCTTCTCTTTTCTTTTTGCCATTTGGGGTTTGGGATGGAGGTGTTGAGGAGGAGAGGGTTGTGTTTATATCTCTCTTCATAAATATTCACAAATTTTAATTGGATTCCACCACATATTTAGTGCTTATAAAGAGAGATAAGTACAAAATTCCGTCATGTGAAATTTGAACATAAGAGGATTCATTTCCATTCTGAAATTAATTGTTCCTTTTTGATTTGTATTTATAAGGTGACAAAACTGGGTTTCAAATCTGTGGCTCATTATCTGATTAAAACCCGCCGCTCTGAGATATGCGAAGGGTCAGGTGCTGAAAATATCGTAGCCGAAGAAGAATTATCAGAAACCTCTGCAGATACGACAGTGAATACACCAGTTCGCACAAGGAGGTCCCTGAGAAGTTAAAAGGTGATCAAAAGGATGCAAAGACCAGAGCTGAGTAAAAAGATTGGCATATACATCTACATGAAGATGATGACGTCATGTTTTTATAATGGGGAAATGCTATTTTTTCTTATTTTGTTTGAGACTCGTACAAGGTAAGCCATTTCACGGAAGAAGTTTGTAGCCATTTGCCATGAATTTTGACAAACATTTTGCTAAGATAGCAGTTTCATGGAGTATTAAAAGTTGCATATAAGCTACATGTAAAAGACCTATTAGACATTTTGATCCTGAATTCTGAGATACTCCCGATTTCATCAGGGATTGTGACTGTATTTACTTTATGTTAAGGATTGCATATTAGATAATACCCTATACCCACACAAGTATTGGATGGTTTTATTTTATTTTGGAACAAATGAAAATTAAAAAGGGGAAACAACTCAAAGGAGTATCATACAATAGTAGGATGATGTCTCTGTAGATGTGTGTTGAAGATACCAAGAACCAAAGTTGCTCCTTCCAATGAAGAACCATAGTTTCTTTGGTTTATGTTTCTAGTATACATGATTCTTCAGTTTTAGTTAGTAGTGATCTCTTTTATTAGTTATTTTTATTTAGTCATCAACATTTAATTAGAAGATGATTAAAGATAAAAAAGAATTAAGACAATTTAGGATTCCCTCTCTAGTCACGAAGGACCTAATTCTTTTCCGAAAGAATGACGCATCACGCTAAAATTATCAGATTGTATGATTAAACTCTATATTGTGATACCCCGTTATCTAGCAGGCATGGAGAAGATGAGTATTAGGTGGAACTCTTAGCTCTGGGTTGCTACATAGGTAGAGGTTGTTGGGATGAGGTCATCAAGTATTAGGTTATTCACTGACTATCTATATAATCATTCTGTTAATTGGATGTGTATAAATATGAATAAAAGCCTCTTCACCTTCAACAGATATAGATTTTGTTGAGTTTAGTTACATTCCATCATGGAACATAATATCAGTGCGTTTTGAGTCTTGACTTCAATTTGGCAATTCCCTTAAATCTTCTGCTACAAGTTTCTTAAAAGTTGAGTCTTCGACTTCAATTTGACATTTCCCTCAAACCTTCCTCGACATGTTTCTTAAAATCTACCGCCATTTAAATAAATACAATGATCCCTATTTGTGCCTCTATCTACTGTATATGCTCTTCACCTTTTTGTTGAGATATATAAAAACCATTAAAAAGCCTTTATCCACCAGCTTAAGTTTTTGAGTTGAATTGGTTCTTTACATGGTATCAGAGCCTCGTGTCCCAGGTTCAATCCTCGTCGCCTCCCACTTTCTTTCAAGTAGAATTTCTTTGTTCGCACAGATAGGTGGGCCTGTGCATTGTCCACTCTTCAAACCCAGTGGACTTTCATGTGAGAGGGTGTGTTGAGATATATAAAAACCATTAAAAAACCCTCACCCACCAGCTTAAGCTTTTAGGTTGAATTGGTTCTTTACAACCTTAAACAAAATTTATTCTTTCGTCCTGAGAAGAACAAACTACAAAGAATAACCAAAAAGTAAATTTGGCCCACCAGAATGCATTGATTTCAGAACAAGAAAAACTCATGCTCTGTTTTCTATATACACTTAAATACCCTCGTGTTGTTCCAGTACTGGCATGTTCTATTCAAAGAATCCCCTCTGTGCAAGAAAAGCTTATGACTCAATGAACTTCATCTTGAATCCAACTTTCTCCACAAATGACATGCTCTCCTGATGATAGGATCAGCTGAAAACCCTTCTGCGTAGGCACCGATAGCGGTTAAGAGACTGCTGAATTTGCTGCCATTGTCCTGTGCACAATTTATTTTTACAATGTTTAAAATACATTGTGCAATGTCAAGTATAATAGCATTCCACCAAACATCCATAGTACTGATATATTATTGAATTTGATAACATGTATTCAGAAATGCTTGATCATGTCTTAAGTGAAGTTCCAACTGATAATTTGATCATAAGTTATCTTTTTATTTATTTTCCCGAAAATATTCAAATAATTATTCCCAAACATCTTTGCTGTTGCTTCTATTCTCAATGTCATCTACCAGCACAGTATTAATGCAAAGACCAACCAGTTATGGCCGTAACATGGTTATGCCTATGGCATAAAAACTTGATTCAAATAGAAATGTAAAGACCCCGCCAAAAACTAGTAAAAAATATAAACGGAGAGTTTAAAGTGCCTTCGATGCCACAAACCTGTGGTTTATTAAATGCGAGGTCTCCTACGGCAAAGGGCACCATGTAGAATGGAAGATCAGAACGCAACAATGCCTGTCATAATTTAAAGCACTAACGTATGAAGACAAAATAGTAGATTACAGGGGGGGGGGGGGGGGGGGGGGGAATGCTAAGAAAAAGAAGAAATAGATAAAAAAAAAAAAAAATGTAGAAAGAGAAAAAGAATATCAGAGATTGAGATGCTTGCCAGTTCCTTGCTTAAGACAGCCTGCTCAGCATTTGCAATCAAGGCCTTCAACGAAAATGGCAAATGAAGTCACAATATCAGTATTGCGGTAGAATATGAAGGTGAATTAGATTAACTTTTAAAAGGTAAAACCACTATTGTCATAATTGTCATATACAGTAAAGTTTCACATAAATGCATCAAGAAACCTTATTAATCATGTTGAACCAGACATAACAAGTTCCAAAGAGAACATTATAACCATCACGTGAATAAAATTGCACCAGAAGCATAACATTGATCAGGAATACCTTTCTAATACGATCCTCTGTAATTTGATCAACACATTCCAACAACCTCTCCAATGTGCCTGTTCATACAAGTGAAGAGATATGGCTTACAACCATACATGCATACATTCAAAAGTATATGAAGGTAAAGACCAAGTAACTACAAACAAATACTTTTTTCAAATGAGTGTCTTCTAGAAAGTTAGAGTCATGAACAGATAATATTTCAAAACCATGGAAGTGGCATGCTGACTTGCTGAGTCCTATTCGACTGTCCTCTCACAATTTTGGCCATCCACTATTTTACTAAACTTGTAATCTAGCAATAAAAAATATAAGGATCAGAAAAAAAAATTATTAATTACATCAATGAGCCAAAAGTTCTGAACTATCAGAGTCCATAACTCTCCTTAGATGCTCACTTTGGGCATAAGCAAATAAAAATGTTTGCTTATTAGATAGGAAGACAGACTATTCTTAGCAGTTGAGTTTGTGGAAATCAAATCAGAGACCACAGTACTGGGTGAATATTGACTTCTCATGATGCCAAAACATGCTTTACCACACTGGATGAAAATCCTCTACCTAACACGATGTAAACTTTCGGAAAAAGAATGAAAAAGTTCATAAAAATCTCACCAAATTTACTGATCAATTGCACAGCATGAACGTCTCCAATTCCATTAACTCCTGCATTTGTAAAGTACTGAAAGTATTAAATGCTTGATAAAATTCCAGAAGCTTATATAACTAATTATCCCCTTAGAGCATGCTTGTTACAGAACAGTGATCCCATTCTTGTCTCTATGCTGTAGGAAGGATGATTCATTAGTCTGTCATGTAAAAAGAAAGGGAAAAATGATTCGAATCCAGACCTTGATTCTACAAAACAGGAATAAAATAGAGGACGGGACTCCCTGTAGAATGGAATGAATTAATGCTGCTACTTTTTTACCTTATTTACTGTTGTTATAATTATAATTCCGTAACATATAAATTCCATGTACCAAACATAACAGTAGAATGGGCTATAATAAAATAGATTGTATTCCTGAGCCAACCAAACAGAAAACGAATGATCATCCCATTCTCATTCCAAATTGGAATAAATTGATTCAATGCAACAAACATACCCCAAAAGTAATGTGGTCAACCAAGTGTTGAAATCTGTTAGCTTTCCTCATTTCCCATAAAGAAAAGCTAAGCTTTATTGCTCTAAATTAGTTAGCTATGAACAAGTTTTTCTACATTTAGGAAACCCCAATTTTTATGAGTTGGCTAAAGAAGTTTTCTTTTCCTTTCCAACAAGGTTAAAGGAGTATATTGAGAAACAATCTACTAAATATGGGAGAGCAACATTCCAATATTTTTAAGTAAGATATACCATGAAAATGAGAAAGTAAGATATACCATGAAAATGAGAAACACCTGAGTGCATAAGATATACTTAAAAGATGCCAAAGACATGGTGCGGGAAAACAGTAAGCGCACCTACTTACATTTTTTATGTGATTCCAGTCAAGAATTAAGTTAAGAAGTCGATGATGAGAAGAAAAAAGAATGTCAATTTCATATTGATAGAAGAGTTACACAATACTTCAAGTCTATCATGTTTGACAAGTGACTTCCTCTTTTACCTTTTCTACAATGTTAAAGGATATTGGTCATATTGAAATTATAGGGAAAAGATAGAAAAGAGAAAAGGGAGAATAGATTTTACTAATAGGACTGAGATGTTATGATGATGTATTAATATAAAACACTTAGCTAATTCTACTATTCGTACTAATAATCCAGGTTAAGTACTAGTACTAAAGTACTAACACTTTATAAAAATATTAACATCAACAACACCTTTATCCCAAACTAGTTGGGGTCGGTGGTAGACAAACCCAGAAAAAGGTACGGAAAGATTGAGAAAAAAATGATAAAAATAAACTTTAAGTATATATATTTATATATAATATTATCCATACAAAAGTAGTACACAATTATAAGGAAAAATAAATCAAAATAAAATACAAATAAGGATATACAAGGTGACAAAAAAGAATAAGAAGGTAAGAAATAAAAATTAAAAAATAAATAAATAGATAAATGAAATAAAAATAAAATAAAATAACATAAAAAGGAATATAGGGAAAGAAGAAAAAGAAAAACACATAAGTAAATAGGTAAGAGAAAAAAGATTGAAAGGAAAAATGGAAAAAGAAAATGACTAAAAAAAGACCGTCTGGAACATAGGAATAAAAATGGGTCTACCCCTCCACCATGCTTATATAAGCTTTTCTCCATTCCGTCCGAAGTAAGCTTTGGTCTACCTCTATCTCTCTTTATGTCAAGCTCTTGGTAACAAACTTTTGTTCTTAGAGGAGCATCAAATGGCCTTCTCATTACGTGTCAAAACCACTTCAATCTATGTTCTCTCATCTTTTCTGCCGCCGGTATTACTCCCACCTTTCGTCAAATATCTTCATTTTTTATCTTATCAATTCTCGTATAACCACACATCCACCTTAACATCCTCATTTCCGCTACTCTCATTTTATGCTCATGTTGCCTATATGCAAGCCAACATTCAGCTTTATATAACATTGCAGGTCTTACTGCCGTTCTATTGAATTTTCCTTTTAGCTTAAGGGGAATTTAGCGGTAACACTTTATAATAATATAATACTAAAATAATAATCCTAATATTCTAACAGGTCAGATTACCCATTCATTACAAAGGTGACTAATAAGAAATTAAGCATATCCTCAAATTCGAACAGCTTCTCAGGCTCTATATAAACCTTTTCCATTTTCCTTTCTCATATTTCAGAAATGATATTCCAGACAGAGGAGCACAAAATAACCTGGAATATTGTCAGATCTGTCACCAGAAAGTGAAATCATATCAGCAAACTGGGATGGTTTCAGGCCTCCATATCGCTTTTCAAAATCCTCAACTCCAAATGAAGCCATCCTGTTGAAAAAAATAAATAAATTGAAATAGTCTGAAAACATAAAAGTAAACTACTTTGTGATTTGCAACCGTAAATAACAATCACGTAATAAGGCAATTAAATATTTAAAACCTTTCTTATTAGCCTTGTTGCAATTTGTTTTCAATTTGATTTATGACGAGGCATATTACTGAAATGTTATCCAGCATGCAGCACCAGCTTTATTCCATGGAATAAAGGTTTTGCATTATTAATAAGTGAAAAAATTCATGCAGCACTCAAGAAGTGATAAAAATGACAAAAATTGTTGGAGATATAGCAACATGGGGTAGCATAATAATTATATTGCCAATGAGTTATAATTGTGCACACTCTGTAAAAGAGCACAGCTAGGGAGTTTAAATGTAAAATGGGCCTCTTTCTTTTTCAACTTCTTTTGCCTCTGGTAATGTGATTTTTTATGTATAAAAGAGTAAGTGGGAGAAAAAAAAAATGTTTTCTCATTATTTTAAAGACAGAAATAAAGTGCTATTAATTATTGCACTAGATCATTTAGCTAGCACAAATGATATAAAAGCAGAAATCATGTCTGATACTAACTGATCACCACGTGGAGCAATTCTAAGGAGACGTAATGAAGGAGATAGAATCTGAAAAAAGTCTTTGTCTGGGGAGACAACTCGTACCTATCATCAATATAAGACAATCATTAGTGACTTAGTAATGTTATTGAAGGCGTTTCCATAATGAAAGCAGAACAATCATGCTATTTAGAATTTTACTATTTCAAGAGTCCCATAATAAGTTGCCCCTTCCCTTGTCTTTAAAAAACAATCATCAAAATGCTACTGCCCATCCAAGAAGAGTGAAAAACAAAAATTTCATCAAGTCTCAAGAATCACACTAGTAATTAGCATGATAATGCCAAACAAAACATCGGCACCAACGTAATATCATCAATAGATTGCCAGATATAAATAAATATCAAATAAAACAGAATTCAACGGTATTTTGTCAATACTAAATGATAACTACTATCAAGGGGAGGCAATTGACAACAGAGGACAGGACAAGGAGGCAAATATTCAAATGTCAAACCACAGACGGTAAAGTGAAAACTAAATTTATTTCACATCTAAGATAATTCTAACCTTCTTTTTTTTTTTTTTTGGTAAACATTCTAACCTTCTTTAATAAAGCTTCCATATCACTACTCTATTCTTTCTACATCAATTCAATTCAACTACAACGAAACCGATACTTGTTAAACAATGTAATAATCTCATTTAAAACCTAGAAAATTAAAATTTCAAAATTCAACTGATTAATAAACTCAAAACATGGAACAAGAAACACTATATATTTGCATAACAATGGTAACATTGTTACTGTTAGAATATATTAGATATGATTAGATATGATTTATCCCAAGGTTCTTATCAAGTGGTATCAGAGCTTTGTGTCCCGGGTTCAAACTACGCCGCCCCCCACTTTCTCTTGTAGAATTTCTTAGCACAGGTAAGCTGGGCCTGTTGCATCATCCACTCTTCAAGCCCAATGGGCTTTCGTGTGAGAGGGCGTATTGAGATATATAGTCCCACATTAGTTGTATGAGCAACTAATGTGAAGTTTATAAGGCCTTAGGCTCTCCCGCCCTTTGAGCTAGCTTTTAGAGTGGTGTATCCCAAGGTTCTTATCAAGAGTTACAAATATGAATGCACACTTTAAACTATAATAGAACACTTCATTTGGTCAAGAGAATAAAAATTTCTCAAAATCTAAAAAGCTACATCAGAGTAAAAGAGTATGAGCCATTCTCTATATTCCAAACCATTAAGAGGATCACCTTGTATCCAGCATCAACACTCCTTAACGCTAATGTTCCAATCACATCATCTGCTTCTACACCTGGAACCTGTCATTAAATGAATATAACAATAAAATACACCCTTAAAATCTGTAAGCAATATAAATCCACAACTTGTACTTGCCTCAATGACTTTTATGGACATAGCATTGATGGACGCTTTCAAGTATGGAAGCCCCTGAACGATGGTATCAGGAGTTGGAGGACGATTGCTCTTGTATGCGGGGTATAGGTTGTGCCGAAAATTCTTGCCTTCAAATAACGTGCACATAAAATCAGGTATATTACATTAAGAAGCTGTAAAACAATAATAGTTTTAAAGTAAGACATGATCAAAGAATAAAGGTAAAGCTCAATTAAAAGGTTCATTACTCAGTCAATTGTTATTCTAAATTTAAATACCGCAAACATAATATTAACTACCCCAGCCCAATTCGAATTGAACTTGAAGCACCATTAAAACCAAAGTCAGACAAATATGAACATGATAAAAGATCAAGGCCATGCAAAACCACATTAATATAGCTTATAATTCTAAAGAGATAGATATTGTGATCGAAAATGAAGCTTGAGGAAGGATTTAAAGATGTTAGAGAACAGGCCCAGGAAGAACATATTTATGTTGAATCAATTTGGCTTAGAAATACAACTGAAAAACATTATATCCTCCAAAGTCCAGAACCTAACTATCTTGACATGTCCCCCAAAACAGTTGAGATTATTATCTGGATTATCTCCAAACTTATGATGACCAATAAATCATATGAATGAATTAACCCAGACACATGAACCTCAAAGGGTACACTAGTATCACCTATATACAGGGGAGGAGCTAGAGGAGTTTTGTTTGGGGTAGGCAGGGGCAAAGTAAAAGAACACTTTATTCGGGGGAGCCAAATATTTTTTTTTAATTTTAAAAAACATATATAAATGAGAATTTTTTTAAATTTTTTTTTGGGAAACTACACTTCACTCCACGCTTGTCCATATATAAGCAGTAAAGAATGGGGTTCAAAATCTGGTATTGGTCTTATATTCCAATTTCATCACGCACAAAAATACTGAAACTCAGAATCGAACATACCTTTTGCAGTAAAACTTTCTTTTGATGAATTATAAGTATGACCAAAAGGAATTCCTGAAATGAAAAGCTTTTCTTTATTAAAATTGTACCTTTAGTGTGGCTTTACAAGCCAAAGAACCTAAGAAATGCTACTTGCTGGGAAGAAAGATACGCAAAATAGTGTGTTTCAAATCCTTAATATGCCAGATACCACCATTACATCAATAGCTTCTAGAAGCAATCTGCCCTCAACTGATCATAATATTCCTCCTACGATACTTTCTTCACTGAAAATAATAAGTTTCCTCTAAATACTACATCCTTGATTTTAATGCAAGAGTTTGGTGGGGAATCATGCAGCCAATAGTACTTATATATCTATTTATGCTTTCCAAGTGCAAAAAGCTTCCTTTCTGTTCAGTTTCTAACCTAACTAAAGGATGCTGTTCCTTAGAAGTTAACCATTGGACATCAAATTACTTTTATTTCCTCTTATATTTGTCTTCTTCTATTTATGATTAAAGTAAACCACGATGTGAATGCATCAGTATAAGATAAGATGCCAAAACAAAAGTACTCAAAGAGCTTGCACAAATAGCATAAAAGCATTCAACCCCATCATTTTTATTTTGTCATAAAATTGCTATTGTACTATGTGAATGGCTAATACTTCAGCAAGAACTGCAAATGTAGTCCAGCAGAAATAGTGCATAAATCTATACTCCAAGTTTTAACAAAACACACAATACAAGAATCGTTTATCAGTTATGCTCAACTGCAAATCTTAAATACTTCATATAAAAGAAAATTTAAGAGTATAAGGCCAATATTACTAGCAGGGGATGCTCAAAGGCTTAATATTATGACAACATAAATTCTTTAAGGCCAGTCTGGAATTCAGAATGAAAAGAATTAAAGTTTAATCAAACTTAACCATATCAATTATTCTATTTGTATAACCAATTTGGCACATTCTCTCTTCTTTTTTTATTTTATTTTAAACTTCTTGTAGACTAAAATGGGTTGAACCGATGGGTCAACCCAGGTTGGGTTGTGTATTTCAACCCATGAACCTAAATAATCCGCCTATATGTGGGGCGGGTTAAAACAGGTTATAGGCAGGGCAGGGCAGGTCAACTTGCATGTAATTTTTTTTTAAATATATATATTAAATGTTAAATTATGGCTTGATTGGTCTATGTGAAAGGCTATTATGTGAGACAAAATCTTTTCTTTTAGGGTTATAATGTTATTATTTTCCTGCGAATTTTTTTTTTGGTAGAATGCGAAGGTTATTTTTTATTCACTTTTGATTTGGCAGAAAAAGAGATTAACACAAAAAATAAAAGAAACTTAAGCTTGTTTTTGGATTTAAATGCTAGTATCTATACAAATCAAACTAATGCTTATGAAATTCAAATTATAGAATGCAATGATGTGTTTATTTGCATGTTTGATGTCATTATTTTGTTATATAATAACACTGAAATTATTAATTATTAATCTTAAGATATGATTTGTATAGTTATGTTAAATGTATAGTTATGTTAAATGAAATTATTGGTTTAAATTATTCTTTTGTCTTTAACTTATTGCTTGATGCTTCTTTTAAACTTGACAAATATTTAGATGTTAGAGATTAGAATTAAAGATTAGTATTAACATGTTTAGATATTTTTTTAATATTTGATTTTTTAGGCGGGTTGACCTGCCAACCCGCTTCAAAACAAGGTGGGTTGGTATTTTCAACCTACTCACCAATGGCGGGTCAACCCGCCCCGCCCCTTTTTTATGGACTTATCAGTCGCAAATCCAGATCTAATTGAACAGTCCTCCTAAAGACCTAATTGAATATATATATATATATATATATATATATATATAGGGCTTTACTTTTCTCCAGCCGCTTTATGTGCAGCGAATAAATTCGGGAAATCATAACCATACAAAGGTGGCTGAAAGCATTAAATGCGGGGAATCATAACCAATCAACAGTATAAGATTTATTGCTAGACATCCAGCAACTGGAGAAATGATTTTACCATATATATATATATATATATATATATATTTGTTTATTCTTCTTTTACTCATAAGTCTCCACAGATTTCCTTCACAGACACATGTCCAATTATAGGGCTTCATTCATTATGTCCATCTTGCTATCCTTATATTCCTTGTTTTGCCTCCTGGCATCTTTATTGTCATTGTAGACTGTAGTCAATAAAATTTGTTTTTGCACTGTTTTTTGTCATAAGACAAGACAACCCTAATTGGTCGAGAAAACCAGCACAATCTTAATCAAGACATAAGGAGCACAACTCAATGCGACATGGAAACTATAATTCAGAATTTATTATTGATGCAAGCATACACCCCAATGAGTAAAATAATGCAGAAATCACAATATTTTTTTTTAAAAAGAAAAAGTTTAAATTTTTATTAGCATGAAGGATCTAAAAGGGGAAAAAAATACTAGCAAATATATAGGCAGAATTTTATAACTCACCGTCATGATCAAACACTACCTGCATGGAAAAGAAACAAAACTATATCAGCAAGATTAATTGATTGTAAACATGGGAAAAAGAATAAGATGGAATAATGGGAAAAAATAGTGATGATGAAGAAATTTAAAGGAAGTAAATCTTTTTCACACACATAAATACATGATGGACAAAACTTACCACCACATGGGAAGGGATAAATTCCAAAACATCAATCACCTGCAAGAAAGATGACCAAGAATAACTAGAAGATTAAATAACAACATAAAAAAAATGAAACTTCCCTGTGTATTCAATCACAGTTAAAATTATTATATACATGCTGTATTGTCAATGAAAGTTGAAAAACAAATTTGTGGCTCAATTCAAATGATTTCCAAGAACACTGCATTATTTTTCTCCTTTCTTGATTGAGGAAAAAGCACAGCAAAGTTTCTTTGATGTAAATTAAAATTATTGCTGATTAAGTATCTGAGATTAATCAAGAAGACATGTGCAATAATAATGCTGGAAAACAGTTAAATTGTAGCTCTTACAAGACCACATGTTTGTTACTGGAACTTCAGTATTTGTGAACTCAACAAATACAATTATTTATATTATAAGGCTGCCTATAGTCCAACCATATGGCCCACATGTTATTGCCTAATGTAGTCAGTTGACATATAAAAATGTGAGAGATACTTCAAAGATTATGTTTATAGGTATAATTTGATGAATATTGTACTTACATAAAAATTTTATCAATTCTACTCAACAGGTTAATCTTTTACACAAAACACACTGATCAGCTTCCCCCCTGAAACTACAAGCCAATACCCTTCACCTCTCCTTGTTTGGCAAAATTGCTCTTCAAATTATCTTATATTCGTTTTACTTCAACTTATTTTCGAATCTACCACAATTATCATTTTTCTTTCTCTATTGTGTAATCTTTCACAGATTGCAATACATTATGGAGGCGAAGATTTATAATTTGGTTTAATGACTAATGAGTCACCAACTTCAATAAAAAAATATTTGATTTCAAAGCTCTGATAATTACTACTCATATGAGCATACAACGACTAGTGAAAGAGAAACTACAAGTTCTCACTGAAAATTGGGCTTTGTTCTTCTCCTTTCATGGGAGAAGAATTTTTTTTGCAGCTCACACAAGTTTTTAATGGGTCCCACCATATATTAATTTAAAAAATAAAATAAAAATTATAAAAAAAACAATGTGTCATAGGCAGGAGAATAGCCTTCTGCAGTCGCAGCAGAAGCTATTCTCCCCTGAAAATTACATTTAAACTTGGAAAAAACAAAATCTTGATAAATCATGTCTACAGTCTCACAAGATTTGATTCAAAGAATAGGCCACAATAAATTATCTTGAACCAAAGCTTTATTTGTCAATTGAAGTCTGTCATCAAATTAATTTTTTATTTTTTATTTTTTATAATTTGGTAATTAAAATTAGTATTTACCACTAGAAGTTTATATTTTGCCATAAAAGACAGAATAGACTTGATGAGCTGCAAATGCTCTTCATCTACAGCTCCACGGTTCAGAGATAAAATAGCAACATAAAAGAAACAAAGCACCAAGCTGACAAAAAACTGATGCCAGGATCATATAAAATTTAATGAATTCTACAAATTAAGATGAGAAAATCGAACATGTACACACACAAATAACTTACAAGTGATAGAGCTGTAAATATCGTTAAAACCCAATCTCCATTTCCATCCGCATGTGTTAGATGACCATGGTGCAATTTTGCTATCACACCATATAACAAGGATTAACAACAATCAGCTACACTCCTTAAACGAAAAGCCCAGATTACAAAAAGAAAAGAAAAAAGAGGAAGCTAAAACAGCTTATAGAAACAGCAAAATATACACATATACCCAAAAGTTTTATCAAACAACAAAATCAATCGTAAATGCACATCTCCCAAACAGAAAAACGATTCAGTGGAAACGAGGTGAACATGTTCAAAATCTCATAATAAGATAAGATCATGATGTAAAAAGAGTAAAGATAACGATGCATACCTAAAAGCTTGTAGTATGCTCTATAAATAACCGATGTACCATCAATGAGCATAACTCTACCATCTAAAGGATCGGTGTTTACGGCACGTTCCGCAGTTCCAACAGAACCAAGCTGCGGAGCTTGAACGGGTCCACCTCTAGTTTCGGGAACCAACGTATCGGCACTCGGAGAAGTTGCAAGACCAACTCCAGGCGAATCTGAAGATGCACTACAATAACCCTAACGAAGAAAAGCAAAAAACGAAAACGAAGAAACTTCAACAACAAAAAGAGCACAGTGACTAATATTCTAGTAATAACTCCTGAATACGTCACCTTCGAGACCAGTGTGCGTGAAGAACGAAACAGATTCGGCGCTGGAAGATTGCGTGAGTAACTCGTGGCTATGGCGCTTGAGAAATTTGAGCGAAAGCGAAGGCAAGGTAATGAAACCATTCTCCAGAAGGAATTAGAATGAAGAAGCAAACACTGATAATAGTAGCAACTTGCCATTTGTATTCTGTTTTTATAGCAGAAGCATCAGTAACAGCATTGAAGTTGAAGGCATGGACAAAGAGAGAGTGTGAAAATGGAAGAAAATGAAACGAACCTTGCAGTTGCAGTGTCCGAACGGAGGTAGCAGAGACATCAAATTGGGCTGGGCCTGTTATACGGGAAGGCCCATTGTTTTTACAATTGTACATGAAGCCCAATTCACATAAAGTAAATTAAGCCCATAAAATTCTAGGGATTGTTATTTGTTCGTTAATGCATGCATCTTCTCTCAGATTCTGAACTATTTCAGTTTTGGCGCTGTGTTTTGTGTTCAGTGCTCTTCCGACGAGGATAGAGCGGTGAAGAACGGAACAGAAGACATAGGATGGGGAAGAGAGGAGGGAGAACTCGTCAAAAGAATGATGTCAAAAAGGATAAAACAAGTTCCCGTTATGAGCCTGATGCTTTCAGCAGTGACGACATGGACGATGAGATTGATGCCTGTAACTCTATTTTCTTCGTTTGTTCTTTCTTTCTTTTTTTCTCGAGTAAAAAATGAATTGATTTTTATTTTTCTAATTCTACTAATATGCTCTCTCTTTTTCAACATAGTTATGAATTCGGCTTGCTTGTCACTGTTTCACTTGTGTTATGCTTTTCTCTTGTAGTTCATAAGCAGAGGGATATTGTCCCTCTTGACGTAAATGATGGTGGTGAAGAATCAGATGAAGATGATGAGCTCCCTATTTTCGATAATAAGGTTGCCGTTGCCATAAGCTCTTCTTTTCTTCTTCTTTTTTTGGAATCATATGAAACCTCTTTTTCTTTTACTCAATGAAACATGACACTTCAGACTTTTTATCTTTAATTTCTGTGCTTTATAATTAAAATAGAACAGTTGATGACATTTTTTTTGGTTTGTTTTTGTTTCATTTCTTTAACTTTCAACTGTTGGTTAAAGGATATTGATAATGATGAAGATGACGATGAAGATGAAGATAATGATGAATCTGATGATGATGATTCAAATGACGATGTGGCAAAAAGTAAGTATGATTTTTTTATGTACATATATATATTCGTCAAAGTAGTGCAGTAAATTTGATTGAGATGAACGATTGGGATTTTTTAATTGAGACAGTGCTGCACATATATCATTCCTTCCCAAGAGCTGTAGCTCAAGAGACTGCTTGACCTCAAAATTGAATCACAGCCATGCATTCCTCTTTTCTGTACTTCTTTGCTCCCTTTCCTGAAAAGATGTGTCAAACAGTCCATTCTGTTACAACCTTTTTATCAATGTAAAGGAATGTAAGTGAGTTGAGCTATTGTGAACTATTCGTGCTCTACTTGTTAAATGCTCGATCAAGCTTGTTTGTTTTTCTAAACAAACAACCTCAAAGCTTGGCTTTAGGTCTAAGTATATAAATGAGTCAAACTCAAGCTTTATGGGCTGAAATTAATCTAATTACCTTAAATTTCGTGTTCGAAGATTCTTTTATTCTCTTCCTCTTTCTATTTTTACTTCATCTTTTAGCGTGAAAATATCTTGTAAATACTGAATTAATAAACTTAAAAATACTTCAAGGAGAGTTTTGATAAAGGGAAAAAAATTAGTCAAGCTATAAACGAGCTAAACAAGCTCAGTTCAAGCTTCATATTTTTAAACAAGCCAAGCCAAAGTTTTAAATTTGGCTTGTTTAAATTAATGAGCAATGCTTGACCATCATCTTTTTTTTTTCTTTGCAAGCCAACCCTGAGCTTCAAGAGCTCAGCTTGGCTTGACTCGCTTAAATTCCTATAAAGAGGTCATACAGTTTTTTGCAAATAACGACAAGGCTATATTAATTTTCAACTAGTTTTTGTAATAGAAACTAGAACAGCAGATTTACAAGTCTTCCGTTTGTTAGCAATAGCATATTATATATTGTTGTACATACCAAAAATTTTATTGAATCTATTTATTTTGAAGCTTAAAGTCAATTTGAAGCATGGTTAGTTAGTCTTACATTAATAAGAGAAAATTTGGACTTAAATAGTTGTATATAAAAAAACCACTCCCTATCAAAATCTGACTAGTTTTCCGGATTTAAACCCGTGACCTTTTAATCACAAAGGAACAACTTTACCACTGCTCCAGGCTCGCCCTCTTTTACTTAAATAGTTGTAGATAATTTATAAAAATAAAAAACACAAGCATATATCCTATGTTGCTACCTGATTTTAATTAATTCATATCGGACATTTTGTATTCCTTTAGAAATATATAATGGGTAAACCCTAGTGCATAAGGCTCCCCGACTTTGCGATGATAGGGATGAGAGTCAATTCTATGTAGCCTTACCCTTGCATTTTTACTAAGAGGTTGTTTCCCGTAATCTTACTGCTACTCCAAGGTCCGCCCTCATTCCTTTAGAGATACATATAGATTTATTAATCCAGCAGTGTTCTGTTTGTTGAAATTCTCAATGTTAAGTATATATGTTTTGTTTGGGCTTATGAAAAAAATTCTTGCTTATTTCATTTTGTTACTTTTGCAAGTTTTTAGAGTGAGTTTATTCAAGAGTATAATTTTGCTAAATATATATATGTATATTGTGCTTAGTTATTAGGCAAAGGAAATATTTACGAGCAAAGTTTGGCGAAGGAGAGGACGAAATGGAGGATGATGACGATGAAGATGAGGAAAATTATAAACTTACTTTGGGTGGGAAAAAGTTCTCACATGGTGCTGAGAATCGTAATTTTGAGGTGAGGATTTGAGCAATGCATCTGAAAAGGATTTTTGCCGTTTATAATATTTAAGCCATTGAAGAATAGATGTTCTCCTTCTGTTGGATCCTATTCTAACTTGTTACTTATTTATTTGAGCAATGTTCTCTTTCTGGTGAATGATTGTAACATTTTGGTTTAAGATACAATCGAGTGATGATGAGGCCCCAAAAGAAGAGGAAGAATTGGCATTACAAATGCAAAGGGAGAAGGCAAAGTCTTTAACATTGGAAGACTTTGACCTTGTGGATATAACTGATGACAAAGATATTGAAAAAACAACTTTGAAGGTAAGTGCTGCTGATTATCTCATTTATTTTGTTAATGGAGGAAAAACATGTGGAAGGGAGGAATGACAGGGAGAGCAAAAAAGGGTGAATATATATGATTACAAGATACAGCATCTGTCAATAAACTTTTAGTAAAGTTCTATATCTTTACAGGATGCATCAAACGGAGCAATAAAGTCACTGGATAGAGATTTAACATTCGTGGTTGAGGATTTGAATGCCCTGTCAAAGGAGGAGCAAATGAATGTTTTGTATAGGTTAGGATGTTACCTTTGTCTTACAGCCTTGATTTCTATTGATCATGTGTTATGAATTATGACGTTACCTTTTCCTGCATTGTACCTGTGTTATCTAACAAGATAATTGACTTTCCATCCATTTCATTCATTACTCTAAGTAAACTGGAGATAACAAATTTGATTTTGAGAGTATGCTAATACTGGGTTGCCAATCCAAAACTGAAAAGATAAATAAAAAGCCAAAAAGAAAAGCAAGAAAGGAAGGAAATCTATTGTTTGTGATGTTCTATTAGAAAAGTCTTTAATCAAGGGTAGACAAGTCAAAACTACCTTCTTTAAACCATTGGTGAATAAAAAAGGTAATATCAATATACTCAACAAAAGATTGAGGACCTCAGCAGAAAAGTATGCTAACCAAAATTGAAACGATAAATAAAAATGACCAAACATAATTGATTGAGAAATAAAAAGAAGGTAAGAAAGGAAATCTAGTGTTTGTCCTACTTTATTGGAAAAGACTTAAGTTGAGGGTAAACAATTGAAAAAGGAAAAGTTGAGGAACTCAGTAGTGATGTGAGCTATTGTGTTGATAATTTTACACATGCAGTTCTCGTAGGAAAATTTAGTTAAATCAACATCAACAATACCTTTATTCCAAACTAGTTGGAGTCCGTGGTAGATGAACACAAATGAAAAGTACGAAAAGATTAAGAAAATAAAGATAAAATTTAAATATATATATATGGAAAAAGTGTTTGTCATTTTAAATGATATAAAATTATGTCATTTTAAGAAAGAGATAGACGCAAAATAATATTTTTTTATTTAAAATTTAAATTAAAAAAAAAAACAACTCACTTTCTCTCCCATGATTTTCATTTCTTGTGTCTATCTCTCTCCTAAAATGATATAACTTATGTCATTTAAAATGACAAACATCAAACCCTATATATATATATATAACATTATCCATTAAAAAAATATCAATAAACAATTAAAAGGAAAAATAAAGTGAAAATAAAGATACGTAGGAGGACCAAAAAAGAATAAGAAAGTAAAAATAAAAAATAAAATTAAGAAATAGAGAGATAAAAAAAAGAAAGGTAAAGAAAGAAAGAAAAGGAGATAATAGGGCAAAGGATTAAATAGGGACCATCTGGAACATTAAAAGAAAAACGGATCTAATCATCCACAATGCTGATAGCTTTCCTCTAATCAATCCTGAGACACATCCTCAGTCAATATATATCTCATTCCATTAAGTCTTATTTAACTACCTTCCCCCAAGTAAGTTTTGGTTTACCTCTTCTCTTTGTGTCAAGCTCTTCGTAACAAACTTTTGTTCTTATGGGAGCATCTAGGGGTCTTCTCATTACGTGCCCAAACTACCTCAATCCACGTTCTCTCATCTTTTCAACCACTGGTACTACTCCTACCTTTCGTTGAATATCTTCATTTCTTATCTTATCTATCCTCGTATGACCAAATATCCACCTTAACATCCTCGTTTCCTTTACCATTTTATGCTCATGTTGCTTATGTGTTAGCCAACATTCAACTCCATATAATGTTGCAGGTCTTTATTACTGTTCTATAGAATTTTCCTTTTATCCTAAGGGGAATTTTGTGGTCACACAAAAACCCTGATGTACTAAGTCATTTCATTCATCCTGTTCTGATTATATGATTTACATCCTCATCAATCTTTCCATTTTTTTATGAAATTGGTCTCAGATATCTGAGTAGTTAAATAGGAAAATTTAGTTAAATAGGCCTTAAAAATACATTTAATTATGGGGAATGTTTTTCTCATGTTACATGAGAAAACTTATCTCATGTTACACACTCATCGAAATTCGAACTAACATTTCTTCTTTTTTTTAGTTGTAGGACCCACCTAATTATGTCTCTGCATAAGACAATACTATCTCATGTTACATGAGAAAAGCATTGCCCTTTAATTATTCAGTAGAGCATTTTGCTTTTTTATCTTCATTGCTATTGCTTAGAGGAAAATTATTTTCTAATGAAAGAATTTTCATTTCTTGTGATGTGATTCCACTTGTTAAATTAAGGGTAGAAAAGGGTAGACAAGTCAAAATTACCTTCTTTAAACCATAGGTGAATAAAAAAGGAAATATCAATATACTCAACAAAAGATTGAGGACCTCAGCAGAAAAGTATGCTAACCAAAATTGAAACGACAATATGTGAGCTATTGTGTTGATAATTTTACACATGCAGTTCTCATAGGAAATTTTAGTTAAATCAACATCAACAATACCTTTATTCCAAACTAGTTGGAGTCAGTGATAGATGAACGCAAATGAAAAGTATGAAAAGATTAAGAAAATAAAGATAAGATTTAAATATATATATATATATATATATATAACATTATCCATTAAAAAAATATCAATAAACAATTAAAAAGAAAAATAAAGTGAAAATAAAGATACATAAGAGGACAAAAATAGAATAAGAAAGTAAAAATAAAAAATAAAAATTAAGAAATAGAGAGATAAAAAAAGACAAAAAAAAGGAAAGGTAAAGAAAGAAAGAAAAGGAGATAATAGGGCAAATGACTAAATAGGACCATCTGGAACATTAAAAGAAAAACAAATCTAATCATCCACAATGTTGATAGCTTTCCTCTAACCAGTCCTAAGACGTCAGTCAATATATATCTCATTGCATTAAGTCTTATTTAACTACCTTCCCCCCAAGTAAGTTTCAGTTTACCTCCTCCTCTTTTTGTGTCAAGCTCTTGGTAACAAACTTTTGTTCTTATGGGAGCATTTAGGGGTCTTCTCATTACGTGCCCAAACTACCCGAATCCATGTTCTCTCATCTTTTCAACCACTGGTACTACTCCTACCTTTCGTTAAATATCTTCATTTCTTATCTTATCTATCCTCTTATGACCAAATATCCACGTTAACATCCTCATTTCCTTTATTCCCATTTTATGCTCATGTTGCCTAAGTGTTAGCCAACATTCAGCTCCATATAATGTTGCAGGTCTTATTACTGTTCTATAGAATTTTTCTTTTATTCTAAGGGAAATTTTGTGGTCACACAAAAACCCTGATGCACTACATTATTTCTTTTATCCTGCTCTGATTATATGATTTACACCCTCATCAATCTTTCCATTTTTTTGTGAAATTGGTCTCAGATATCTGAGTAGTTAAATAGGCCTTAAAAATACATTTAATTATTCAGTAGAGCATTTTGCTTTTTTATCTTCATTGCTATTGCTTAGAGGAAAATTATTTTCTAATGAAAGAATTTTCATTTCTTGTGATGTGATTCCGATGTATTACTATGTAACATGAATTTTTGTTGGAGCTTCCTGATGCTAAGGGCATATTTTAAAGTGGCATTCAGCATTAAAGTGGGTACTTTTCAGCCTAACAATCAATTTCTAGTAATATTCAGAAGAAATCTGGGGAAATATTCAGCTTGAGGATGCTGCAGAATCCTTACAGAAATCTGGCCTAACATATACACCCTCTTCCTTTTCAACCCACTTTTGCTACCATACACTGATAGATTAAAATATTGTCAGATTCATTTGTATTAAAACATGTCTATGGCAAGGTTATCATAGAATGTATTTTCCTCTGCTTCTTCTTAATTAGTGATTATCTTCTCTTTGCAGGTCTGCTCCAGAATTAGTTGGTTTGATGTCAGAACTAAATGAGGCACACAACGAGCTCGAATGCAAAATCAACCCTTTTTTAAGCAAGGTTTTTCCTCCTCTTGTGATCTGCTTTTTCTTTTCCTATTCATTTTTTGTGGGAATAGTTATCAAAACCATGCAAAAAGTGTTTGACTTGTACTTATAGGAAATATTCTGGGACTACAGCAATTAAGTTTAATGAATATTGCCTTTCTGTTTGGTCAAAAAAGAGAATGGCCATGCTAAGATGGCTAAATCATGTTATCTGCTGACAGCATGCCCAATGTGGATGACTTGGAATGGCATGTCCCAGCAAAACAAATTCTGGGTCTCTGGATAATATCTCTAGAAAGGCTTTCTTGTGAATGTCTTGGTTATTTTTTTCTTTCTTTTTTTTTTGTTTCTCTTTTAGCCTTGAGTTCTTTTTGTTTCATTCTTAACTGAGATACTGGGCCCCTGTTAGGAATGATACTTTTTTTTGTTATAATTATAGTTTAACTATTTTTAAGTTTTAAATGTTTTTAAATCTGTCTCTTGATATTTCTGATGTTAGGATGTTATTTAGAATATAAAATCTGTGGTCCATACCCTTCTCTGTGTATAGACTACTTTTTTTTTTTCCGTTTTCTTTCTTTCTTTTTTTTCTTTTTTTGAGAGTGAACTTAGAGCAACGATAAGGTTGGTTCTTTGGACTGAAAAATCATGTGATCATGTTTAGGAAATAGCCTCTTTGGAAAAATGCAAGGGTAAGGCTGCGTACAATCAACTTTCACCCCTATCCTCGCAAAGTCAGGAGCCTTATGCACCGGGACTTGCCCTTTTTGGGTTGTTTTTTCTTTTCCCTTTTATGTGCATGAAGGCCATAGTGCATTACAATTGATTTTATCTTTTGTGAAGGTTAAAAAGGGGGAAATAATTATGGAAGGAGGAGTGCGTTATTTTGAGTTGAAGCAGCTTCTTTTGCTGTCTTATTGCCAAGCTATAACCTTCTACCTTCTCCTCAAGTCTGAAGGGCAGCCAGTCCATGATCATCCTGTAATGACTCGCCTTGAAGAGATCAAGAAATTATTGGATCAGGTCTTGTTATTTTCAAACTAGCTAATATCTCTGTCTGTAAAATCTAGTTTACAAAGTCATTTATTTGTTATATGAATATGGTTGGCATGAATGAATAAGTTACGTAATGAAAATATTACTAATTATTTGAATGTCTGTGCTTTCGTCTATACCAAATTGTCCATTAATGAAGAAATCTGCACGTACTATATCTATAGGAGTTAGACCTGTTATAATGATATTGTTTCATTTGTCCAGTTTTTAGATAATCAATGGTTCAACTAAATTTATTGGAAATATCTATGCCTATATTGGATAATTTATGATATTTGTATAGACTCTATGTTGGTAAGCCTTGCTTACACGTTGGAGGAATTGGAATAGTACTAATATAGTTCATGCTTAGATAATGTATAAACTTTCTAACGTGATGTTAATGAAAGTGCATAGTTATATGTAAATATTTACACTATTGCACAATTTCAACAAATATCAGTTTTGAGACGAAATTCGTTTTTTCTTTTAGATTTTACAATTATCTAATGTGTGCCTCACTCAACAGATAAAACAACTTGATACAAAACTTCCGGTTGAACTTGAGGATATTCTTAAAGGAAATAATGGGTTAGAAAGAGTGGTGAAGTCAGATAATGACAATGCTCCAACGGCAACTGATTCTATCACTAAAAACCAAGAGCATCCTCTTGTCTCTGCTGAATCACCGGAAGTTGTAGTGGTAGTCATCACTTCTTAATCTTGGCTTATATATTTCTGTCTTCCAAATGATAAAAAGTGACCTCAACAGTCTCTATTTTTTATGTATTGCTTTGCTGCAGCCAAACCAGGTAGTTGAGACACAAAAATTAGAATCCTCAAAGGATAGTGTACAGAAAGCAAGAAAAGTTAAACATCAGGTGAATTATAGATCATTAAGTATGGTGTTGTTTTGTATCTTTGCTTTGATTTTATTGATTATTAACATAAAATACCTATGCAATGTTACCTTTATTTGATTTATTTTTGTTGCATTAAAAGGTTACTAATTTGACTGAAATAAACCTCAACATGGCAGAAGGATCACATTGGTTTGCAGAGTTTGGAAATGTTAAAAGTTAGAGCTTCCCTTGAGGAAAAATTGAAACAAAAGGGTTTGTACGGTTCGATTGCTCCAAAGCCTAGTAGTACTGTAAAACGTTTGAGACCAGTTAATGGGTAGAGCTTCTCTCTTATTCCTTTACATTATTTGTTTCCAACATCTGGGAACTTATTAGCAACTTATAAATTTCACAGCCAGCTTGAAACATATGATGATTTTGATGATGATGCTGTGGATGTTAAGGGGGCAGCTAGTAACGGTCCTGTCTCCAGTAAAGTTTCAAAGTTTCTTAATGCTAATTTGAAGAAACCCAAGGTACTGAACTTGAGATTTTTGTAAGATGGATGCCGATTTCATTTGCAATTCATAGTAACCTTCATGTGTCAGCTACACATACGAAAATTGTCATTTTAGAATTATACTATATTACTGGGGTTAAAACTTATGTCTGCCAATTATCATTATTGTATCCTAGAATATTGTAAAGTATCTTGGATGATTTTTTAAGAGTGGTTTTCGTATTTCATTATATTTCATGATTTGTTTCCTTATTTAATTATGATTAGGAGTCTAGTATTACTATATACAAGGGTTAGTGTTTTGTCTTTTGTAATATATTATTTTCAATATACACGACAAATTATTCAGAGTCTGTATTGTCTCCTTTCTTCCTTCCTAACCTAAATCCCTATAATTTCAATACTACGGAGTAACCATAAATGAGGTTGACAACTGAACTATGACCCAGTCTATTTTCAAATTAGGTATAGTTTGTTTATGTATAATACAACATCTGCATTCCATGCTATTCATGATCCCAACAAAAAAAAAAAAATCTTTCCATTGTTTTAGGCTACAAATTTTATTTATTTTTTTTATATCACCTGCTTTGGAAACATCTGACTGATCCCTTTTTTCGTAAGGTGGTTTCTGGTGATGATGATTTACCAAAGAAAGATGATATTGGCGAAAGACGAAGGAAACATGAACTTCGGGTGTTGGCTGGTGCTGGAATTAAGACTGAGGATGATGATGATGATGATGATGATCAAACAGGTGATCCTGGAACTAATGAGGTTGCAGACGAAATGGATGATGTTGAAAGTGGGGACTCAGAAAATGAATTTTACGAACAAGTGCAACAAGTGCGAGCTGCAAAACTGGCTGCAAAAGCCCAGACTTACTCAAGGTGAAATTTGGGTACCCTTTTGGCTTTTTTTAACTTGTTCTGGATACATTGCTCTGAAATATGCCTTGGTTATTTTATCTGATCCGCTGCAAGGAATTTTCTGTCCTTCCAACTTTTTCAATATGAAAATAACAACTGATTTGCTTTTGCAGGAACACAGCGGTTCCCTTTTTACCAGAGACTGTAGAAGGAAAGCGCTATATCTCTTCTCAGGTTCTTAATCAATCTATCATGGTTTTCAATTTGTGTTCATCATTTCTTACAAATTTGCAAGTTCTTACTTGTGTGTTGCCAATATGCTGTAGATGGAGAAGAACAGGGGACTAACTCGAACTCGCAATAAGGAGAAAAAGAATCCCAGAAAGAATTACAAGGTACTTTGACTAAAAGCACTTATTCTTTGGGGTTCAATGTTTAACTGGTGTATTTCTTGTTTGCTATTTGTCTTACTCTTGCTATCTCAATGTGCAGCTCAAGCACCAAAAAGCTGTTAAGAATCGCAAGGGGCAGGTTCAGAGTATCAGAAAGCCCACCGCTCCTTATGGTGGGGAATCCACTGGAATTAATGCAGGCATCAGTCGAAGCATCAGATTCTAGAGCTGATATTGTCAATTAGTTTTGCAATATCATTCTAAAGTTCTCAAATTTTGAATCATCTACGTAGATGGAAGTATGTTGTTCGTCTTTTGTAACAGTGAAAGTATAAAATGATTATTGATTGGGAAATAGACATATTTGGCATATCAAATTTTTGCAAGTTGATCTAATTATTTCAGAGTAACGTGTTGTATCTTTTCAACTTTGTAAATGGCACCAAACGAGTTGAAGATGAGCACAGGCACGAGCTTCCCAAGAAATCTAATGGACTCATATGTAGAAAGAGAACTAAATATCATCACAGTAACAATAATGTTTTAGATCATGAGATGTCATGTTTCTAGAAGGATAGATAAGTGCGACATGGATTAACCAAAAGCGTTTTGCCAATTGTTCTTTCGTAGCTTGGTAAAGCGCTTTTTAGTGCCCGTCGTTCTAGTTTTAGCAAGCCAATCAACGACAGGTTGAGGAAGAATGCAAATGAATAGTTCTATCAATCTTAGTTATTATTGAGAAAATTAGTTATTTACATTGAAAAATATTTTTAAGCTGAGTCCAAATAAACATAAACGACATTTGATGTCGTTTCAGAGTCAATGGAAATCTCAAGTTGTCCGTAACAAGTACCCCCATATGTACACATTGATGGATGATACAAGAATACACCATGTCATATCTTTTTTCTTTAATCTTTTTCGGAAGTCGATATAGATAATTTTTCAAGCTCTTTATTTTAAGATAACTGTTGTGAATAAAATGTATCGTAGTCTTCTTTCTGCCAACAAAGTACCTAGATTTTCTAGTGTCGAATACTACTGTAAACGAATACCAGAAGAAAAGGGTACTGTCCCATGGGGGTTCCAATAGAATGTTAATATATTATTCATCGTAAAGAAATAAGTGGAACCAATAAGAGGGAATATCATGCATATAAAGGCTTTGGGGTTTATGCACCGTTTACTTTTGAGCTGGCGTTTATTTTTATTCCTATCTTTTCTGTGTGTATATGTAATTATCATGCTCATTATTCCACTTCTCTTCCAATGGAGGCAACTCTCACCATTTATATCCCAATAGGAAACTACAAAACCACAAAATTACAGTCACATCAAAATCTGATCAAACCAAAACTGCCCAAGTTCGCTGCCCCCACGTGATATAATTAAATCTAGGAAACATAAACCAGAAGACTCAAATTTTCATGTAGTAGTAGAAAAGGAACTTAGAATGGGTCAGGGATCACGAAGAACTGGCATCAGAAGCAGCCTTTTTCTCCCTCTGTTTCTCCCTCTTTTTCTTGTTTCGTAACGCATTCTTGCTCATTGATCTAAATTAATCAACAATTAGCATTTAATAACAGAACATAAATCATAAGAATGGATAAAACAAGAGAAGAGAGGAAGGGGAAAAGGTACTTACTCTGCAGAGCTCTCTCCAAGCAACTGCAAATACAAGTCATTTTGGCATCATTAGAGACATAAAACTAAAAGATTAAACTCAGCTCCAAGAAGTATTGCTGACAATTTATATTGACAAATCAAAATAGAAACTATGACAAACAGAGCATAGATTATCGGACTGTGTACCTCTGCCTGAATAGCAGCTGCATTCTTAGCGTGTGGTGGGCGATAAGCAGCAGGTTTTTGTACAGGGGGGTTGGCAGAAGAGGCTTTTATAGAAGCCTGGGTTGATTTTGGTCCTTGACCTGCAATTATTCCATGTTCTTCAAAGAACAAAATAATATAAATCATGACTCAAAAAAATATTAGGATAAGCATGGAAAAGGACCTGCTGGTTTTTTATCTTCAACTTTTCCCAAGTCTAGAGACTTGATTAATTCATTGATGTCACCAAACTTACTTGGTGACTCTGGTTTCCAATCAGCCTGCAAATAATTTGCATACAACTCAACGATGACTGCAAAAAAGGGAAACAAAAACCATTTAATCATAATAAGTACAAGATACTACTGACCTGGTACAACTTCTCAAACATCTTGTTGAAGTACAATGACCCATCGTAGTGAAAAATCTTGATCCTTCAACAGAAGAAAAATAAAATAAAAAGGTTTTCCTTGCGAATAAGTTAAAGACTATGACTACCAGTAAAGTGGAACCAACTTATAACAATCAGCAAAATATTCTCATATAAATTGTTTGGTTTGGTAACCTATCGCCCCATAAATGTTGTACAAATTAATCGCATATTATGATGAGTAGACCAAAGTCCCACTAATGGCCAAATATAACATACCCATTGTCAACTTGAAGCCTTGGAGCTGTTGTCGCTGTCATGAAATAGCACCCATCCGGAGACCATTCACTAGTCACGGACCATTCAGCTTTAGTTGCTTTAAGCTGTTTCCTATCTATGTAATCCCAGAATACCTAGAACATCAAAGCATGAAAAAACATATGAACTACATATAGATCAATACATTCAAGAGATTAAACCTCTCCAAGGAGCACTCTCCTTCACTAACTTCCTTTACATAAAACAATATCTGCCCTGTTTCCTAACTGAGGAGTAATTTATCCTCTTATTACAATGTCTGAAACTGCCCACAGATCATAAACAACACATATCTGCCTATAACTAACATAACACACTATTATAATATAGTAACTACACTTTATTCCTTCTAGTATAAACTTTGAAAGGTTTAGGGCCACCAATTTCCTTGTGCATATCATATATATACTTAAATTATTGTTTTGATCTACCAAACATGGAAAATACTAGAAAATGAGAAAACACATATACAGTTAATCATTAAACATGAAAAGGTGAAAAGATAGATGCATTCAGTACTAAGAACCAAAACGCAACCAAGACACCAACAATTTAACATATGTGACAAGCATCTAAAAGTGATTGTGAGTTATAATTTGGTTTTTTAGCAAGGTGAGGCAGCAGTCCAAGATAAGCCAAAAAGGCATCAAATCTCTTCCATCACAAAGGAAAAATTAAAAGAAAGCATAATGATTCAATCAGTCAGGAAAACATACCATATCACCAGGCAAGTTACCGAAGCCAGCCAAACATAAAACTGCAAGCCAACAGTCAAGGGTGCAAAATACAACTATTTTTTACTTTTACCCAGATGTATATACTTATATCTAAAGACCAATGAGCCGCTTGAAATCTCCATCCCCTGCCCAAAACCCTCAAGGGCCCTTTAAAGATTCAAAAGAGGAAGAAAGAAAAACACTAAGCATTTAAAATTTATTTCATTAAATACAAAGAATGCCAATTCATCAGCTGAGGATACATTTGCCTTTGGGATTCCATCGAATAGTGTTGTAAGGACCAGTTCCAAGCTCCAGCAAAGGATTGCACTTCTTGTCAAACAAAGTTGCTTTAGCAGGCATAACTAAATCAGGTTAAGGAAAAGTGAAACATTCAAGAGATCTATTAAAAACCGTTTAAAAGTGATTAATATAATGTGGAAACCAAATACCCATCATCTGACTTCTTAATAATGTATAGTTCATTAGGCATCGGAAACTATGCAGGAGACATAAGAAGGATTAGTTTTTTATATCAAAAAGATAGAAAGAAGCAGCTGTAGTGTTTTTTTCAAAGTATTTCCTGACATGGGTCTAAAATCATCCCAAAATAATTTAGAGCTTTCGCCAATCCAGGTACATGACTTTACCATAAGTAAAGCTTCTGAATTAACATATCATACCTGCCCTAGAATTTCATTTTATGGGATCTTTAGCAAATATAAAATATTGCGAACTTATCTCCTTGTATATATCACTGAGAAAAGGATACACCCATATACAACAGCAAATTCCAAGCCAGAACATGACCACTGAGCATCATGAATAGGCCCGTCTTTCTCTGCCAAATTATTCATAAAATGAAAATGTTATCCTTATTATGGTTATTATAGCCAATTATCAGTTCTACTTTTACTATAACAGTAAGGACATACGAAGAGGCACAAGTCCTTCATGCATCCCATCTGTTGTAAGGTAGCACAACTTTGATTCTCCATAGTAACTCTGATTAGTTTTGTCAACATCTGACTGCACCACCACTAGAAGCCCAGTAGAACCACGATTCCATTTAAGTTGGGTGGTTGAACATCGGAAAAAACTCCGTCGAGCAATGGGTTGACTTTGAGAAGCATTTCCACAAGCAAATATTTGTACACTAGCAGGACCGCCCTACAAGGTAGAAAACTTTATAACATATGCATCAAAATTGAAAACATGTATAAAGAATCATTATTTCTAGATGTCTGCCACACAGGATGTAAACCTATACTCAACCTTTATTTTTAATAATATTGACTACCAATAGGACTTGAGGAACAAAGAAGATTGCATATGTAAACAAATTCAAATTACTCCTTATTATGTAGTCTGTGTTTAGGACAATAAAAATCCATAAGATATAGCCATCAGCCATTCAGAAGCTACCAAATTGATCTGACAAACCCAGGGAACTGCAATAATTAACAATTTATTTTGAACGTCTCACCAATTTTGGTAAAAATGATTTTATAAAGTACTCATTCCTTGACAGATATACCATTTCTCAATTTGGCTCCCCACTTTTGATTTTCTAAATTGAATGTCTTTATTTGTTTCAATTTGGCCTTTCTGTACAACCTATACTTCAAATCCAACACCAACTTACATCATTCAAGATTCAATTGGAAAAAACAGAAATAAAGGACTGAATTTTGAAATGCTAATTCTTTCGTAAACCAAAATAGCAGTTTACTTTATAATGAATTGTTTATCTCCAACCACTTGGCTCAACTAATCATCATAAATACACAATGCATCAGCAATATCAGATTAAAATCCTTTCTTATGATTGGAACAAAGAATTATACACAGTGCACAATTCTGAGATTCAATTTATTCACAAACTATCCGAGAAGACAGAACAAACTGCAAGCCAGTTGTCCAAATATTCAACTTTCATGCTCGAATGGTTCATATAATTTTATATATTAAAAACCTAACTAACAGCATGACAATTTGCCAATAATACCAATTTCTTATTCATTTGTTCACGAAAAATGAACTAAGCCTCCATGATAAGCATTAAGTAGAGGGAAACAAACCTTGGATTCTGGAAAAAAGGCAGCTATATGAGACCCAGGTGCACTTGAAAGCTCAATAGCAGCAACTCGTGGAACTCTTAACCGATGGATAACTCCTTTAGAGAAATCCCCAGCATCAAAAAATTGTACCTCATTCGTTGCCAACCGGCATGCGGTAGCTTCATCGGAGCTGAATTGAATCGCAGGCCTGAACAACAGAAAAGATGACAGTTAAAAACAAAAGCTGCAATGAGAACATTAGGCATTAATCAATAAAGTATACACAAATGAAGACGCAGCGTCATGATAAATTCTCAAATGGCCAAATCATAATCTTTTTCAGAAAAGGAAAAATAATATGGTTATGATAACTTGAATAGAAGGGGAGCCTTGCACATGTTAGTGTTGTCGCCTTCTGATCCACCAGAAGGCCACAAATTCGAATCATGTAATCAATCTCTTGCAAATGCAAGCTAAGGCTACCTACTATCTTCCCTAAACACTATGCATAGCAAGAGCTTTATTGCACCAGGCTGCGCTTTAATGATAACTTAAAGTATATAGCTAGAACTAAACTTGGTAAGAATAACTCTTTTGCTCTCATAATTCGTTAATAAATAGTTACATACCAATTGGTCTTTGTGATGTTCTTTTGGGAGTGTTGATAAACATGATCACCAGTCTCCGTTTTCCACAGTGTGACGTTCTTTTCTTGTGGCACAGAAAGTTTTTGAAATGTTTGCAAATAAGTACCACATGGGGACAAGATAGCAGCTCCAACATTGGGCACTTCAAAAGACCTAATCTCTTTAGCATTTTTGCAGTCATAAACACTAATCACAGAATTGGATTTCATGACCATGAGTTTAGACCCATCATCACTGAATTTTGCATTCACACAATTAACTTTTTCGAGCTTAACACCAGGTTGGCCATTGGCGAAAGGGGGTCCAGTCCACAGTGAAAATTCTTCAGGTTCACGAACTGATACAGAAGCAAATAATAATAATAGTAATAACAATAATAACAATGAAAGAGAAACAAACACAGCAATTGAATCAGAAAGCTATTAGTGAATACCTAATATCTCCAGAGACAGTGAGTGGTCATCTGATGCCATTAGAAGCCTAAGAAGAAAAATATTGCAAAAGCAGAACAAAACTACAAGTTAGTCTCTTAGCTTTCATACATTTTGTTCATCATTTTCATTGATATGTTTATGGAATTCAAACAAATTAAAGGTAACAAGATCGTTGAGTGAATGGAATTTTTTCTATTTTTTGCGGCTAAATAGTTTGCAACTTCCGAAAGAGTAAGAGTGAAATAGAATTAGATTCGTTATTGTGTGAAAATAAAAAATAAAAATCAACGAGGTTGCTCTCTCACCGGAATTTGTAGCGGAGGGACACACTACAACTGGTCTTCACGGCAGATGACAACTCACGACTCACTTCACTCACAATGTTTTAAAATTTTATTTATTTGGTTTTAATGTATCTAGGATATAAATTATGTGTTTCATGTTTATAATTTTAAATGAGTTAAGCTATGTCATTTTAGGAGAGAGATAAATATAAGAAATGAAGATCATGGAAGAGAGAAAGTGGGTGATTTTTTAATTTAAATTTTAAATAAAAAATTTATTTTGCGTCTATTTCTCTTCTAAAATGACATAACTTTATGTCATTTAAAATGACTTCTCTCATAATTTAATGTTTTCAAAATGAGAAAAATATTTCTGCAGATAAGTTATCTGCATTTATTCTCAAAATAACGTCGTTTTGGTATTAAAATCTTAAAAAAATTATAAATATAAAGACTATTATAACCCTGAAATAAATTAAAATTATAAACACACCATAATTTCTGCCCCAAAACGATGTCGTATTGAACTTACTACAGATAACTTATCTGCAGTAACTGCAAACAAAGCGAACCCTTTAAAAATATGTGTTTTTTTTTCTGTCTTCTTTTTCTTTTCACATAACCTTATATATGCCTTACATAATTTTATACGTGTACATAAGAAGATAATTTAATCGCGTACAGGCTAAAAGTAAACCGTGTGTCTTGGACGGTCCAAATACAATGTTTTAAAACGAGTCACCCGGCTAGCTATAGTGTAATCAATCTAATGTCAAGTTTTGGGCCGTTGACAATCCATGATGCAACAGGAAGGTGGATCATTGGCTTCTTCAATAAATTGGGTAGCGGATCTGCTTTATAGGGCTTGCTCATTGGGATTCAGGTAGCCTGGGATCTTGGTCTCAAACAGGTTTGCATTGAAGGGGGCTCCCAAGTGGCAATTAACATGGTTTCGGGCCATTGTGTAGGGGTGGCAATTTGTGTCCCGACCCGCGAACCCGACACGAAATTTTCGTGTATGGGTCAACCCGTTTAATAAATGGGTCGTGTTAGGGTTGGAAAAAAAATAACACGAAAAAATCGTGTCGGGTTACGAGTTAACCTGTGAACCTGCTTTGACCCGTAAACCATGATATAAAAGGAAAAAAAAATACCTAGGTTTCAATTTACTCCAAGGCTCCAAGCTCCAGCGCCGCAGCTCTCTGGCCATTTTTTAGTACAACAATACCGACGACCGTTCGCTTGCATTTTCCCCTCTCCTCGGTAAGACTTCATTTCTTCCCCTCTCCGCTTGCAGCTCTCCCCACACTATACTGTTCCTTCATTTTCTGTTCATTTTAACGAAATCTCTTTGGCCAATAATTAGTCTAATAGTTGTTTTGTTAAATTATTTGGATACAGCGACATATTCAACTTGGTAGTGGGTTGTCTTCTCCAACCACAAAACATATGTTATCATTTATTTTTGGGTAGACGCGAAAGCTGATGATTTTATAAACAGGTTTAAGAAGCAACTTAGGTTGCAGAGGGTTGATTCTCTTCTCCGTTACAGAGATATGCTCAGAGGAAATTGAGAAGAGAAGAGAAACCCTTCTTCACTTTGAAATTGAAGTCATCACTGTTTATTGACGGTGAAGAAGGAAAAGCACAAAACAATGCAGGCTTAACGTCTCTTGTAAAAGGTTAAAAAGGTCGTCGTCGTCCGTCATCGTCATCATGGTATATGGAATATATGGAATATGCGTGTGCGTCTCTTCGTAGTTAGGTGATGTTCTTTTACCAAACAAGAAAAAAACTGGCTAAGTTTGTTGTATTAGTGCTTGGAAAATAACAGTAGATGCGTGGATTGGTTTTGTAAAGTGATGGAATAAAGGTTTCCAGCTACTTATTTCTTCACTGTCAATGGTATATGGAAAATATGTGGGTTTAAATTCTTTTACTAGAATGTTATCATTTATTTTTGGGTAAAGGATTTCTCTATTAGCTTTGGAAGAATTGACAGAAGATATCATGGAACAATTGAGTCTACATTCAATAACTGATCATGGCGCTCAAAATAGTTACTCGGTTGTTCAATGACTTTTATATTTCAAATTTTCAATCAGTTAATTATGAGACATTTGTAATCTTAATGTGTATTTTGGATTTAATTATGAGACATTTGTTGTAAGAATGAAACATTTGTTGTAGGTTGCATTTAATTATGTTTTGATATTCAGTTCAAATCAAGTTATTTTAATTTGAATTAGATTAAACAGATTTAATATGATTTGAATTAATATCACTTTGTGTTTACTCGGGTCGTGTTGGGTCGGGTCGGGTCGTGTCGTGTCGTGTCAATACAGGTTGCCCTCAAATTCAGGTTGTATCGTGTCAACCCGTTTATACATGGGTCGTGTGTGGGTTGAGTTTTATAACACGATTTGTTAATCGTGTCGTGTTCGGGTTGAGTCTATTCGTGTTCGTGTCAGATACAGGTCGACCCGAACCCGACCCATGAACACGAATTGCCACCCCTACCATTGTGGTAGGCAGCATTCGCTTGCTCTCTTATTGACCACATCCAGAGGCTGATCAGTGAGCCTTGGAGGACCACAGTCCGTCATACCCTTCGAGAAGGCAACATGGTGGGTGATGCTCTAGCCAAGCTTGGAAGTGAGGTAACTGACTGGGAATTACATTCTGTAATATGCCTCCTATTGAGTGCACAGACCTCCTTAACAGGGATTTGATGGGCACCTGTAGCCTAAGGATGTGTAATTTGTCTTAACGTCTTTTTGTTCCCTTTTATTACAAAAAAAAAAAGTAAGGGTGTATGTATTGGATCGATTTTGTAACGTTCAACCAATGATTATCTCACAACACTAATACGGGACTTTTCAAGCGTGCTTTATTCTTATTCACACACTTCCTGGTGGGCGTTCAAACACGCTGGTTGTAACAGCCCGTTGTACACCGGTATTGTTAATATTAGTTATGATATTAAGCGCACTTACAATCACAACAATTTATAAAATGATTGGTGTTATAATGGCTTCTATAACTTCTAATCGTTCGAGGGTCTTGATAAATGGTGTGGCTTCGGATTGCATAGTTCCTCAGAGAGGAATTCGTCAAGGGGATCCAATATCTCCTTATATTTTTGTGTTGTGTGTTGAGAAGCTTTCCCACTTGATCGCTGAAAAAGTGACTATGGGTTCGTGGAAGCCTATTAGAGTCTGCAGAAGAGGGCCGAGTGTATCCCACCTTTTATTTGCAGATGATATCATTCTCTTTGCGGAAGCAGATATGGAGCAAGCTAAGGTGATTATGGATTGTATTAATCTCTTTTGTGAGATGTCGGGGCAAAGTGTTAGTGCAAATAAATCTTTGATTTATTTTTCCCCGAATACTGATACTCAAGTTGCTACAAGGATTGTCAACAGAATGGGCTTTAAGCGCACTTCTAGTATTGGCAGATATTTAGGCTCTATTGTTAAACAAGGGAGATATATTAAAGCAGACTATGGAGCTATCAAGGATAGGATACGTTCAAAACTGGATGGTTGGAAAAGCCATTGCTTTTCTTTTGCTGGTCGAGTTACTTTGGTGAAATCGGTCATTGCTGCAATCCCTTCTTTCCATATGCAGAATGGTCTTTTACCAGTAACGTTTTGTGATGAAATTGAGCAGATACAAAGGGCTTTCATTTGGGGAGATCAGGATAGCAGAAGGCGGGCTCATTTAGTAGCTTGGGATCAAATGTATAAACCCAAAGATAGAGGTGGTTTGGGAATAATTAACCTTCGACTCCAAAATGAAGCTTATATTCATAAACTGGCGTGGAAGGTGTTAACTAAGAAAGATGATTTATGGGTTAAGATTTTAGTAGCCAAGTATGGTAGAGGTCAAAACTTAAGGAGAGGTATAAAGGCAAAATCATATGACTCTAAACTTTGGCGTGATCTTGCTAAATGTTGGAGTAATTTCCTTGCTGGTCTTAGATGGGAAATAGCAGATGGTTCTGAAGTAAAGCTTTAGACTGATAACAGGTTGGGATGGGAGGAAAATTTGCAGCAGTTGTCGAGCAATCAGGTGCCGTGGGAGGAGAGTCAGAAATCAATTGCAGATTACATGGTGGATGATGGTTTCCGTCTTGAAGTTGTTCATCAATTTCTGGAGTCAGATTTGGCTGATGCAGTAACAAATCACCTCAGGCTTATTCCAAGGAATGGGGAGGATAGATTAGTTTGGATCAATAATCATCACTCAACTTCTTTGGTTAAGGTCGCTTACTGTAATCTTATGAACTTCCCAGCAGATGTTCACACTAGCTTATGGAAAAAAGTTTGGTTGTGGAATGGACCAGAACGAGTGAAAGTGTTTATGTGGATGACTTTGCTTGCTAAACTTTCAGTGCGCAGCAGAACCAGTAAGTGGAGCGGAGGTTCAAATGTCTGTCCCAGTTGTCCAAATCATGAGGAAACTATTATTCATGTTCTTCGTGATTGTAGACATGCTAGGAAAATTTGGCAATCTTGGTTTACAGGTTCGATACCCAATTCCTTTATGAATTCGAATTTGCAGGATTGGTTGACTTTAAATATCGATAACATGTGGTCCTCCAATAAAGTGTAGGACTGTAGGGATATTTTCTTTACTACTTGTTGGTTTTTGTGGAAGTGGAGAAATTTGGAGATCCATGAAGATCATTTCTGTCATGATGAGCAATCACAGGCTTCAATTTGGATGTTTGTCCAACAGATTCTGCAAGCCCGAATTTATCAGCGCCGTGGTGATTCCAACGATAGTGTTTGGACAGCCCCCAAGCAAGGGTGGGTTAAGTTGAATTGTGATGGAGCTTCTTCTAGTGGCATGAAAAAAGCTAGTTGTGGTGGTATATTAAGAGATCACAATGGATCCTTTTTGGGAAGCTTCTATTGTAATTTAGGTTCCTGCAATCCTCTTGATGCAGAATTATGGGGATTACTGAAAGGTTTGGAACTGCTTTGGGGAACAGGATTAAAAAGAATAGAGCTAGAATGTGATTCTAGCCAAGCCATCCAGATGTTAAAGGAGCAGCATGAAGATCCTAGGGACTCTCAAGTCACTAGCAGATTGAGATTATGGTTAAAAGCAGATTG